CGGCGGTTTTCGGATCCCCTGCCCGCCTCTAATTCCTGCTCGGGCTTTTCACGTGGAGCAGAAAAAGTTTCTAACTTTGGCCGTCGGTTTTTGCAGGAATTCTCGAAGATGAGTGGGGAGGAGCTGCTGAAGCAGCGGATGCTAAAGTACAGGAAGATCGGAGTGTTCATCGAGGGTACCCCGATCGAACCCAAGAGGAAATTCAACATGAAGAAGAAAGACGTAGTGTCCACAAGCCGGGAGCTCGAGGGTGAGGTCGAGAAGTTAAAGGAGCAGATTCTGAAAGCAAAGGAGACGACGTCGTCTTTAGAGGAAGAACCTTCACCCGAAATTCTCGAAGAAATGATTGAGAAACTCAAATCCGAGATCGACGACGAGTACACCGAAGCCACGAAAGCAATGGGGTTGGAGGAAAGACTGAAAACCCTACGCCAAGAGTTCTCGAAAGCGAGTTCTGAGGAGCATTTGATGCATCCGGTGCTCATCGACAAGATCGAGAAGCTCAAAGAAGAGTTCAACAATGGTTTGGCCATGGCGCCGAACTATGACAGCCTGAGATCTAAGCTCACAATGCTGAAGGATTTGTCCAGAGCCAAGGCCATGTCGGAAGCGGCTTCGTTGAAGAAAGAGATCAACAGAAGATTCCGGGAAATCGCCCAACGCCCCGAAAACAGAGAGAAAGTCGAGGCGATCAAAGCCGAGATCGAGAGCTCGGGCATTTCGAGGTTCGAGGAACTGCCCGAGGCATCGAAGGAGAAGATTGCGAAGATCAGAGCAGAGATCGAGTCCGAGATGATGACGGTTTTGAGATCAATGGGTTGCGAGGTCAAGAACGTGAAGCCGAATCCGAATGAACAGACGGAACAGGCTTTGGTCCCGAGCGAAGACGTGCAAGACAAGGTCGAAACCCTAAACCTAGAGATCGCCAAGAAGATCGATGAAGTCGTGAAGAAACCAGACATCAAGAACATGATCGAATTGCTGAAAGTAGAGATCGCAAAGGCTGGAAACACGCCTGAGGACAAGACCGCAAGGCAGAAGAAGATCGAGACAATGGAGCAGCAGATCAAGCAGAGGATCTCCGAGGCGTTGAGTGATTCAGAACTGAGGGAGAAGCAAGAGGAGATCGAGAGAGAGATTGCAGGATCGAACGTGAGCTTCAAAGGAGACGATCATGGCTATTCCGAGAAAACAGAGGTCAAGTCCGGTGCGAGTAGCAGCAGCTTCGCCTGAAAACGGCAAACACTGTCTTTCTCGTAAGTGGAGTCTGGCTCTAAACCCTTGTCTGAATCCCGAAAAGATTTGCAGGATCTTGAAGCCCCTTGGATGTTCATGTAGCTTTTAGCTGTGGGGGCATGTCTTCTTCGTCGGATCAAAGCTTTTGAGGACTTTTGTCTTTTCGATGCTTTTATATAGGACAGTGTTTTATTCTCTAGGATCTCCGTACGCGTTTTGTACGTTTTGATGTCTCATGACTGAACCTTTTATATATTTATTAGTGAGACCAATTTGAATCAAATGGAATAAAACAATGTGATATAAATATTGAAATAAAGATTTCTCTTTAATCGAAAAAATATATATTTTTAAATAAATATTTTAATCATTGAAAATCAATTTTGAATCGAAATAAAATAGCCGATGATGATCGAAGTAATACAATATTATTTCTGCAATCGACGATCAAACATGCTCAAAATTCTAAATCAGCTATGTTTTTTACATCATAAACATTGAACCGGTTTTTCAAACCGGAACTCGGTTTAATACAGAAAAGGAATAACGGCTTTTCTATTCTTGGGATACTCATCCTTGAACTTATCCATATACCAACTATGGCTCGCACGTGCGCGAGGGACCAAATTGGCACACGTGTACAAGAAAAACCCTGACCCAGCCCAAGACCACGTCATCACGGCCCAGCCTAACCACTCCACGATCTCCCCAAAGTAATTCGGACAGCTAACCAACTTGAACCAGCCTCCTCTTGGTATGACATAACCGCCCCGGTTCTCTTTCTTTAGCCTTACAAGAATCCGGTCCGATTCCATGTTTATCCACATCCCGGTTAAGAAAACCACCATACCAATGCCAAACCGCCACCAAAACCGATTCGTATCGTCGTAGTCACTCTTGTAGTGAGAAACCCACCTAGCCTGCCGAGGGTATAACAGTGAAATTACCAAAACCGAATCAATTATAACAAACTGAAATGAATTTGTGACACTATATGTTACGGTTTAGTTCCACTCCATAACAATTGCAAAGCAGCATGAAACCGGGTTAGTTAATCCAACTAAATGCCATGATTCTTCCGGTTTGGCCCGGTTCATTCAAAAGGAAAAATGCTAAACCGTGATAAATTCTGTAAACCAAGTAAACCGAACCGGATTCTCATAGATTATCGAGATGCTCACAGCAAAACCGAACCGGAAATCAGCGACGGGCTAACCTGGATGTAGGCGTTGAGGAGATTGAACACAAAAGCCATGGCAGCGACGGTGACCGGAAATCCGCGTTTCACGGCGGCGGATGAGCTGAGGTGGAGGCGGAGGGGGTAGACGATGGTGCGATGGAAGTAATGGAGGAGATAGGGAGAGATCAGAAGGAGAGATCTGGGATCGTGAAAGTGACGACCGAAGGGGAAGAGGAGGAGAGTGACCCATAGTGACGGAGACTCCATGACGAACCAGGCGACCGGCGGCGAAACGGTGGGTCCCCATCCCGGACGGTTGTGTTTACCGTACGGTGCTTGGAGGAATTTGAGAGCGAAGGCGGTGGGTGGGCCGGAGAAAATTAGGGTTAGGAGGCAGTTCCTGAACAAGGATTCGTCGCCGATCTCTTTCATTTTTTTTGGAGAGAGAGAGAGAGCGGGAGATCTCAGAGGGGAGAGGCGGAATCAGGGGATGACGGTATGAAATTGACCAAATGAAAAGTTTGGGCTATTATTTGGATATATATCTTTATTTAGAATGGAATCTACAAGTATAAATTAACTTACCCAAATTTAAATATCCAATCAAACTATAATTATTAAAAACATATAAAACAATCACAAATCAATACATAATTTCTTCCACAAAAATGCATCATTTATTTACGAATAACATCGAATATATCATATCATATCTTCTATAAAATCTTTCAAAACATATTAAAACGTCATTACTAATTAATAATTTCAAATATATAGATATTTTACATATTATATATAAAAAATTCTATTATGTAAATTTTTTAAAAATTTTAAACATAAAAAGAATTTATTCTGCATTTTTTAAATAAATTTATATATTTTGTTATAGATTTATGTAAATTATTTTCGAGAATGTCTGTGGGCTCATCGGTTAGGGCCTAATGTTTTGGGTTTCAGTTTGGTATTTGCCGGTTTTGTTTGGAAAAATAGTTATTAAGTTGTATAAAAATTATAACAAACCAAAATCGAAACTTTTATCTTTCACAACATGTTGACTGAGAAAATGTTTTGTTAATTTATTCACCCAATGATAATTCAAATGATATTACAAAAAAAAAAGGCAACGTTGTTGTGATGACCTGAACGGTGTCGTTTCAAGAGGTCCAATTCATCTTGTGAAGATTTTTTTTTTTTGGAAGTCGTAGCTTAGAAACAAAAAAAAAAAGGGTTACAACAACATGAAAGCCATTTCTCAACCATTTATTTCATCTCTTTGTTCCTAAGCATTCCAATTCCACGCTTCGCATCTTTTTCATACACTTTTGAACTGTCTATCACATTTCCATAAAATAATAACGATCGTGACCGGTCATACAATTTGTTATTAATATATCAAATAATATATCTGAATATATCGAATTTATTTATTTCTTACCAATGTTATATTATATAAGATGCGTTATATTTGTAATGCTGCATCTCAAAACATTAATTTATGTGAAAAAAAAATAAAGGGTCATATAGAAAAGAAAGGAAACCCCTAAAACAAATAGATTAAAAAAAACAAGTTACCTAGTTGAGATTACTCTGTGATTAATATCCGAGTAATATCTGGGAGAGACATTCATCCGAATTTCTCCGATCTTCTGGAAGATATAGTCGAATTAAAGGTCGATGAATTTACGGATTATAAGAAAAACAATATAAAAAAGAAAAAGATACACGTGGTTTATTACTAACTAAATTTAGCTTAATATTAATAAAACAATTAAAGAAGTGTTTATATGATATCAAATCCAAATTGGACATTGGACATTGAACATCTTCGTTTTCGAAAGGTTTAGTTTAATTGTCATTTTTTATCTCAAGTCTTTCTTTTTCCTTAATATATATTGAGATTTCGTGTTGACTAATGTTTGAATCTAAACTATATAATATAAAATAATAAAAAAACACAGATAAATGGAAAATCAAATAAATAAAAATAGGGAATTTCGTATCTTTAAAATTTCTTATAGCCAATGGTTATAGTGTTTATTAAGTATCATTATGTGACATTGTTTTGGTTAATGTCATTATGGATATATGATTGAACTTTAAAATAAGAGCTTGGAAGCATTGTATACGCAACAACATATACAACCATGCACGTTAATTACATTAAAAAAAAATGGACTTTTGAGATGAATTTTCTTGTTATAAACTATTAGTAACAACTTTACGCAACAGAAGGCTATATATATACGTTAATCGCCAAAACTTTTGTTCGAGAATTATTGGCGAATTTGATATCGAATTTTTCTATCATTAAAGTTAGTGATCTATTTTTATTATTAAAATATTTGTTTTAAAATTTAATAACAGATTATTTATATATATATATATATATTGTACTGTCAAGGTAAAAATAACAAATTTAATTCGTTGATAATATTAACGACACAATAAATCAGTCTCAGATATCATTACAATACATAATTTTTCGTATAATGTTACAGAAATTTATAAATCAATTAATGGGATAATATAAAACTATAGGCACTGTATAATAAATCACAATACATCGGAATGCATTAGTACGTAAGATCAAATGTTTTGATATCTTCATTACATGAAAGCCGATTATTTTTATTTTTAAAAAAAGCAATAAAGGCATTCTCGTAATTTTGGAAAGGCGGTGAGTTCACTGAGTTGTAATTACATATCGTAATTTTGATTAAGGAAGCGTGATCAGTATTAGTGTTTTTTAACTTTCAAGTATGATTAGTTATGGGAAATATCGACATGTAAACCATTAGTCGTTGGCTTAGAGCTTTCGAAAACTGAATAATCAAAAACTTGACGAATAAAATAATCCTTTTGTTAAGTTGTTAGTATTTATAACAGGGAATTTTAAAATTCGTTTTTCCTTTTATTTAAAATCGTTATTAATCTTTGTTACGTGTAGTCTATAAAGACGTTACACCACAAAGTCAGTGGGTCAAATTCACAATTGAAGATGATTAACTAATTAATCTGCATGCCAATTTCAAGTGTTGACATATATATTCTTTTAGCCAAATCGAATCCCCATATTCCCAATACAAGCCGCCGGTTTATTTTTAAATAAATAACCGGTTAAAAAGTAAAATGACTAATTAATTAATTAGTTGAATTTATTTAATTTCTCAAGAGAAAGTATTCTGAAATTAAATGATTTTTTTACAACAGTGTATATGATAAAATATAAACCAAACCCACACCGTTCTGAGATACATTTAGACTAAGATTATTTCAACTTTGTGATATATTAGTGGAAAATGGACACTTTATGTGACATTCAAGAAAAGAAATAAGTGAAAGGGAAATTAAACTAGGGATTAGATGTAACCCATATATATATATATATATGTTATTAAATCTTCGAACAATTTCTGTTTTTTTTTTGTGACAGTTTGGATTTGGAAAATGAGATTGGAAATGGTAAAAGGGGAATCTTGGGTTTAAAGAATAGGATTCAGATCGACCTACCACTTAAAACGACGTCACCTCCTCATTCTCACCCCCTTTATAAGCCTGCGGTGGCCCGTCGTTCATGCAACTCAGCCTCTGAGCGAGAGAGAGAGAGAGAGAGAGAGAGAGAGAGAGAGAGAGAGAGAGAGAGAGAGAGAGAGAGAGAGAGAGAGAGAGAGAGAGAGAGAGAGAGAGAGAGGGAGAGAGAGAGGCATACACACACACACACAAATAGAGAGAGAGAGATGGGGCTTTATCGGGTTGGATTTTTGGTTCTTGCATCGTTCTTCTGTGTTTTCCCTTTTCCGACAGAGAGCTTGGTTCGCCATTACAAGTTTAATGTGAGTATATATATATATACGCCATGCGATCTGCATATTATGTGTGTGTTGAGTATCTGCGCATGCATGTTAACACAAATAAGTACGTCCATATATATATATATATATATATATATGCGTGTGCGTGTGTGTGTATCCATAACGAAATTACGTGAAATAGAGATCATATATTCGAAAACTAGTAATAACAGGTGCTGCTCCAGCTTAATCTAAATTTCATACATATCGTACGTATATATTACATGTTTTCTTTCTTATGCCATGTGATTATGTGTGTGTGTGTATATATATATATATATTATAGACACACACACGAGAAATTGTTGGAATAAATAGATAAAACAGCAGTAATATGCAATTATTGTCACCGTATTTTTCTATATATCCGAAGGAACCCAATATACATATATATACTATTTATATAAGTGTATAAATTTTAAAATATGCGTACATACATGGAGACCATAAATTTAACTTTATAATAATCGTTAATCAAAATATGATTTTTGAAAGAAAAAAATATATTTTTCACAGGTTGTGATGAAAAACACAACGAGACTATGTTCGAGCAAGCAAATCGTGACCGTCAATGGCAGATACCCAGGGCCCACAATCTACGCTCGAGAAGACGACACGTTGCTCATCAAGGTCGTTAACCACGTCAAGTACAACGTCTCCATCCACTGGTAAAACCAACCATAGTAATTAAACTAATTAATTTGTTAATTAAAATATTAATTTGTTAATCAATGGTCCGAGCAGGCACGGTGTTAGGCAGTTGAGAACCGGCTGGGCCGATGGGCCGGCCTACATCACGCAGTGCCCGATCCAGCCTGGTCAAGTGTACGTATACAACTACACGTTGACCGGTCAACGGGGCACTCTATGGTGGCATGCCCACATCTTGTGGCTGCGTGCCACCGTCCACGGTGCCCTCGTCATCCTCCCAAAGCGCGGAATTCCTTACCCTTTTCCCAAACCCGACAACGAGAAAGTTATCGTTTTAAGTATGAATTCGATTTTTTTTTGTTTCGCAATAGTTGAGATTGATAAGGTCGAATCTTATCGAGTTTTGCATGTGATGGCAGGCGAATGGTGGAAATCAGATACCGAAAACGTCATTAACGAAGCACTTAAGTCCGGATTAGCCCCCAACGTTTCCGACGCTCACACCATCAATGGCCATCCCGGTCTCATCAAGAGTTGTTCCTCGTCGCAAGGTAATTAATGTTACCGTAATTAGAGATGGATATTTCGGGTTATGATTTGAGTTTGTTTCGATTATTTTATGATTTGAATTTGTTAGAAAACCTATCTTTTGTTCGGTTTTTATGTTAGATTCAATTTGGTTGAATTTTGGTTCGATTTCGATCTTTTATCGATAAAAAATACTCATTTTATAAACAAAAATGGTTGTTTTTTTCAATTAATTTTATATACAGTTTATGTTAAATTTTTAGGTTATAATATATCATACCACTCGGTTTTTATATTGGTTAGATCCAAATATATTCACATTTTTACCGAATTTGAAAACCTAAGAAACACTCTCCTTGATTCGGAAGGTTACAAGTTGTCAGTGGAGAGCGGCAAAATCTATCTCCTGAGGCTAATCAACGCTGCGCTCAATGAAGAGCTATTCTTCAAAGTCGCCGGTCACGTTCTAACGGTGGTGGAAGTTGACGCCGTCTATGTCAAACCATTCAAAACCGATACCGTCCTCATAGCCCCTGGCCAAACCACTAACGTCCTCCTAACGGCCGTTAAACCCGCCGGAAAATTCCTCGTCACCGTCTCTCCCTTTATGGACTCGCCCATCGCCGTCGATAACGTCACCGCCACTGCCACCGTCCATTATTCCGGCACCCTCTCCTCCTCCCCCACCGTTCTCACCCTCCCTCCTCCTCAGAACTCCACCGCCATGGCCGACGCCTTCACCAGCTCTTTGCGCAGCTTGAACTCCGTTAAATACCCTGCCTTGGTCCCAAAGAAAATCGACCACCACCTTTTCTTCACTGTCGGACTCGGTATCAACCCTTGCCCCACGTGCAAACCCGCCAATGGAAGCCGAGTGGTCGCCAGCATCAACAACGTGACCTTCTCCATGCCGACCACTGCTTTGCTCCAAGCTCATTACTTCAACGTTAATGGCGTTTTCACCACCGATTTCCCCAAGAACCCACCTCACGTTTTCAACTATACCGGGGCTCCTCCGGCGAATCTTGCGACGGATAAGGGAACCAGGCTTTACAAGCTCCCGTACAATGCCACGGTGGAGCTCGTTCTTCAAGACACCGTAGTTATATCTCCGGAGAATCACCCGTTGCATCTCCACGGTTTCAATTTCTTCCAAGTGGGTCGTGGATTAGGTAACTTCAATCCCAATAAAGATCCGAAAAGGTTCAACCTTGATGATCCTGTCGAGAGGAACACGATCGGTGTGCCTTCCGGCGGGTGGGTCGCCATCAGATTCAGAGCTGATAATCCCGGTAAACTCCCTATATATATAAAGTCTCGATCTTTGCATGAAATTTTGAGTTTTAGGGTTTGTTTTCGAGCACGCGCGTGATGAATATATTAACATACCCAGAAGGATCAAATTGATAAAAATTCGGTAAAGTTTTGATCTTTTTTTTTTTTTGTGTATAGGAGTTTGGTTCATGCATTGTCACTTGGAGGTTCACACGACGTGGGGGTTGAAGATGGCGTTCTTAGTGGAGAACGGCAAAGGACCCAACGAGTCCATTCTGCCGCCGCCGAAGGATCTTCCCAAGTGTTGATGAATCTTCCGACAAAGACAAAAACACAAATAGAGAAACAAAAAAAAAACTGTATAAAAGTTAAAGAGATATATTCATATTGACGTCAAAATTGCATGGATAATTTTTTTTAGCAAAGTGGAGGGAAAATTGATTTTGCTAAAAAATAGTTTGAAAAAAGAGGGGGGGGGGGATGCAAAGGATAATATTGTATTATAAGCATTTTATTATCAATTAATTAAAATGTGGTTAATTGTTTTTATTGTTTTAAGAAAATGGAGATGCCAACAATTATAAAAACAAGTTTTCATGCAGCGGATTTAAGATAGTTTATAACAGGAGAGATAGCCATGTGAGGTGGAGATTAAATTAAGAAGGTAGTAATACGAGGATTAAGGACAAAATGATTGATTATGAGATGGACTAAGTTTAAAACAATTGACCGATTTAAAACAAAATTAATATTGTAATTTGGCCTTTTAATGAAAAATGGCTTTTGACCTTGACCTTGAGCCAACGGGAGGTGTATTTGTGCTTTTGATGCCTATATTTCATCATCTCTATTACCCATTTTTCTTTATTTTATATTAGTTTTTGGATTTTATCAGTTTCTAATATTATTTTGGACTTCTAAACTTCAAGATTCCCTTCATATCCACTATTTATAATTATGACTTTTTCTATGAAGAAAAAAATATATATAATTGATGCTGGAGAAAAAAAAAAGAAATTTAATTGATTCCTACTTGATGTTTCATTTTCAAATTTGCGAGATAATTTGTATGAATTTTGAGTGTGTGTAGCTACTAAACTTGAATTATGCATTCACGGCTAAAATACAAATTTGCATTATAGATATTTTTCAAATCAAATTTAACGATCTTTCAATACAAATTCAACATAACAGTTTGAACTGGTGTAATCTTTAAGAAAACATAACGTAATTTAAATTTCAAAAATTATCTTGGAATAAAAGTTAAAATATTTTTGGAAATTTACTATACAATTTCAAAGCTATTTCAAGGCAATTTTCAATGATAGTATCACATTGAAACAGCGTTAAAAATGTTAACGCAATATCAACAGTTTTATAGCATTAAAATTGTAATTCAAATTAGGATTATAATTTTAACATAATTTTGTAAGTATCGAGAGGAAAAGACGTAGGTTTTGACCGAAAAATATTAAAACCATATGAATCCCATATTTCAAACATAAAATAAAATGCGGGCATGGAACCCAGATAATAAAATGCGCAGACACATAATTTAAAATACATACATACATACATACACACGATCGTAAGTATACGCATGTATACGTATAAATGTATAATAAATATAATATTATTATAATATAATAAAAACTAATGTGCGAAGCCACTAATGACAAAAGCGTGTGGACGGTGGAGCGCATTATGAAGGGGGAGGAGCCCCACGGGCACGCTCGCGTTTGTGCTGGCGGTGGGTCAAACTGTGTGCCACTGCTCCTTATTCGACTCCAACTTCATGTCGTTTTTTCCCCAAAAATATTTTTATTATTTAATATTATTTTTGTACTATTTATTTCCAAGTTGATCACTGGCCCACCTCCCCCCCCCATGACAATCAATCTAAATACTTTATAATATACAATCATAACCCTCAACTACTAAAATAATTATCTTTACATATGTGCTTTTTATATATATATTTTTACATTAATTCACAATCTATAAGAAATAGTGAAATCTATATGTGCACGTATTTATTTAAAAATTATGTACATGTGAAATTTTGTTTAACCCTCCAAGATACACGAACAAAAATCTATAAAAGTTCATATACTTGTAATAATGAGAAATAAATAGCATTTATATACGTTTACTTATCTGGATTTATAATATATATTAATTAACTAATATCAGAAACCCAAAAAAAAGTGTGTCCCCATTTGGAAATAATAGATTCTTTCCCTTTGAGGAAACTCTACAATAACAACACAACAAGTCATTGTCTTGCACTACTCTAATAAAATAAGTTAAATATAATATTTTAATAAATACATTATTCTTTTATTGATGTTCTATTAGAAATATTTAATAGTATGTTGGGTGTGAGTGGTGGACCAATAACTCTGACATTTGTTAAAATAACAGCAAATTATTAATTATTATAGTCATGGAGACGAAAATATTATACTATAATATAATATTATTTAATAAATTTCCACATTTCCTAAAGGCTCTTTACGTCGTAACTTCGTCCCATGGAACATTTTTTATTGGAAAACCTACATAAATCAAATTAAATTGTTATTAATCTGAGATTAGAAGTATTATTATTAATTTTGACTCTATGCTTTTAGATATAATCGTTTTGCTAATGTATGATTCTTTCGCTTTGGTTACACGTAAACGTATTAATCTTTCAGTACATACATAGTTGGTTTTTATTTACGCAGAAGAAAATTTCTAAAAAGCTATACGAATTTTATATTTTGCATTTTAATGCCCATTTGACCCATTTTTTGTGTATTACCCTACATTTTAATAAAAAATTTGTATATTGTCGTTTTTATTCGTATGTAAACAATATTTTTTTATGAGATGTAAAAAAATATTTTTTTTATAATTAAAATGTATATTATTCAGTATGCAGACGTTAATTGCTCTCCATTCGTTCGATATTTCATGTACAATCAAATCTTTTTTTTTTTTTGCCTCTCAACTTTGCAATTGAGGAATTGTCTATTTTATCCGGAATTTCGTATATAATATGTATCTTTAATTATGATTTATGATGTCTGTTTATGGCGTGGTCGCTCGTGCTACCTAACCCAATTATAAACTATATTTATTTCATGTTGTTTAATATTTTTTTAATTGGTTAGAGAGAAGGGTAAGCCATTGTACCATGAATTACAATTGAACCATCAATTTAAATTTATTTTATTGTAACCTTTTTTATTCGATCCGGTTACTTCCTTTTAGTGCGGTTTGCAGGTGGATTTGGACGCATCACATATTATAAAAAAAATTTTGGGTTTAAATCACATATTATAATTACATGCACTAAAATAAACATTTACACATATTACCGAGAAGCCTTGGGTTCCTGAATTATAAATTTTACAACAAAACTATCTCTTTTTTTTTTCACTTTAAACAAATCTCCTTTCAACACTTTTATAAAAAAAAAAATTGTAATGACTAAAATCTGAAATAAAATTACTGTTTTCAAAAAATTATTATTCTCTACATTTAAATACACAATATATTTTTCACTTTTTATTTTTTCACGAGACTATTCAAAATTTTGAATATCGACCTATAGTTTGGACATCTTTATCTAACATGTTAAATAAAACCATCCGTTATTAGTGCATATTGAATATTAAGTATTTCACCATTTACCCCACAATTATCTTTCAAATGTTCTGTTGAATTGAATGTTTTGGTCTTATAATATCCTCATATAAGTCGTGGACCTATATAGTCGGCATAGAAGAAAATAAGTTGTATTTCCATTAAAACTTTTTTTTAATTCTTGTTTTTTGTTTATTTAAAAAAATATACATATATCATCGGTTTTAATGTCGGATTTCGATTCACCTCAATCAGCTATAAATTTACGTGAATGCCCTTACACAGACCTTAAAATTTTACCGGCCAATGGGAATTGTCCCCTCGATTATTTGTCTTGTTTCATTCGGCTCCACTCCATCACCTCTGGCCTACAATTAGGCAACGTTTAAACCTCAAATAAATTTTAAATAAATGAAATCAACCAACGGTTCCAGAGAAAAAGCACTAAAAATAAAAAGAAAATTCCTAGGGAACCAATCACATCTTACAACCTCTGACTCGTACAATTACGACACGTGTCATATTCAGATTTATTTCTAGGTTCCTTTTATTGATTATCGGATTAAAAAGGTACAATGTGATTCAATTAATTGAATGTGTAATTATTGTATGACATCGAGGTCGAATAATCTGACATTGACTATGACAGACAATTCACTCGATTTTGTTAATTATATTAAAAATACAGTTAACGATTTATCCCCTTGCCTCTAAAGAAAAAAAAATCTCATATACAAGTATTTTAATTTTAAAATAAATATCTAAAATCTAATTAAAATTTTAAATTGATATCGTAAATATTAAAATATTCTAAATTTTATATCCAATTTACAAAATCCATAACAATTTATAATTTCTATTTATTTTTAAAATTGAGAATTGTCATCGAAATCAAATATAGAAATTTTGATATTTATGGTGTCAATTAAATTAAATTTAAAATTTTAGATATTTATTTTGACACATTTTCACAAAATTAGACTATTTATATAGAATTTTTCTATAAATAAACAATAAATGATGTTTAATTGTCTAGCTTTTTTCCCCCATGAAATACACATAGGGTAACTCATCTACAAAAATGGTCACACCATTTTTTTTCTTTTACATTAATGGTTACGCGATTTAAGAAATTATTATAGGTATATCTCATAATTAATAGGTCAAATGTACAAAAGACATGAAAATTATAATATCTGGAAAAAAAAAAAAGCCCACCAACCAACCACAGCACAAACAGCTTTTACTCACTCTTCTCCTCCGCATCTCGTCCCTGTTTCATAGATCGGGAGAGAGAGAGAGAAAGGTTGGATCTTTCGTCAGTCCCGCCGCTTCCATTCTTCAGCCCACCTGATTTTCTCTGATTCTCCCTTCTGGGTTTTGCTCTGTTCCTCAGTTTTCTCTCTGGTTTTAGCATAAATCACACGTTTGAAGCTCGCAATCCTCTGATTTCGGTCACATTCCAGCTCGTTTCGCCGAGATTTCTTCCGGGTTTCCCTTGTTTTGCTCTCATTCAGCTCATTTCCCCCCTGGATCAGGATCTGGAAGATGGCGTGCGTACACTGCTCCAGGGTTTAACCCTTCGGACAAAGTTCTGAGCTTCCAAGATCGAATCTTTCTGTCGTCCCTAGGGTTTGGAAAAGTGGCTCCCTTTTATTCCCCTCCTTTGATTCGTCGCTTTCATCCTTATCTCCTTAAGTTTCCGTTTGAAATGCCGTATTGATCATATTCTCCTTCCAAAGCTCTGAACCAAAATCCTCTCCTGGAACTTCACCCTTTTCTCTCTCTTTGAATTCCTCCATTATTCAGAGAGAGAGAGAGAGAGAGAGTTTCCGAAACTTGAATCCAAATTCCGTAGCTTTTCAGACAAATCGGTGAAAGATGAACAGAGGAATCGATGTTTTGTCACCTGCAACATACCTTCAGACATCGAATTGGCTGTTCCAAGAAAGCAGGGGAGCCAAATGGACAGCGGAAGAGAACAAGACGTTCGAGAACGCACTCGCCTTGTACGACAACGACACTCCCGACAGGTGGTTCAAAGTCGCCGCCATGATTCCCGGAAAGACCGTCGGAGATGTGATCAAACAGTACAGAGAGCTCGAAGAAGATGTCAGTGACATCGAAGCCGGTCTGATTCCGATCCCTGGTTACGCGTCCGATTCCTTCACTTTGGATTGGGGCGGTGGCTTCGACGACGGTTCCTTCTTCTCCGGGAACAATGGTGGCTTCGACGTCAACGGTTACTACTTTGCCGGCGGGAAGAGGGTCTCCGGTGGTCGGCTGCCCGGAAACAATAGCTTCAACGTCAACGGTTACTACTACTTCGCCGGCGGGAAGAGGAGCTCCGGTGGTCGGACGCCGGAGCAGGAGCGGAAGAAGGGAGTTCCCTGGACTGAGGAAGAACACAGGTTAACTTACTTGTTCTTGATCTGTTTTCTGGGTTCGTATACGTATATGCAGACTTGTATTGTGTATACGCATATATATATACACACACACACACATCAAATCAAGAAGATCTTTGTAATATGAAATGGCGTTTTTTAAAATGTATGTGTGGTTTTGATTTGGTCCTTAGGCAATTTTTGATGGGTCTGAAGAAGTACGGGAAAGGAGACTGGAGAAACATAGCACGCAATTTCGTCAAAACGCGAACGCCAACGCAGGTCGCGAGTCACGCCCAGAAGTACTTTATCCGACAGCTCACCGGCGGCAAAGACAAACGCCGTTCCAGCATCCACGACATCACCACCGACACCGTCAACGTCCCCGACCCAAACGCAAACGCGCCGCTGGTGGCAGAGAACGCTGACGCGTGTGCGGTTTTCGGTCAGAACGCGTTTTTGTCTGACGGTTTCTTCGGGACGCCGTACGTGAGCAAACTGCAGGATCATGGCGTTTTAAACGCAACGCAGCTCGGCGGTTACAACGCGTTTCTCCAGATGTAGCAGAGGTTTGGGAGTTAATTAAAGAGGTCCCATTAAAGACGCATGGTACTTTTAATTTTTTTTTCATTTTTATTATAACGTTGTTTTTGTTTTGTCCATCGTTTGATTTGGTCTTTTGCTGTGTGAATATAAAATAGCTGATTATTTTAAACGTTCAATAATTAGATTAATCTCGTGGTTAATTCAGCAAATTTTTTTTTAAAAAATTGTTCCTTCTATTATATTTATTTCTAGATTTTTCATGCTTATGATTAATAGCATGCTAATTCTGATTAAGCCCGTTATAATTTTTTGGGGTGAGAATGAGGATGTAAATGCATATATAATGTTTACTGTTTAAATTTTTTTATATTCTATATTAATTCTTTTTACTCAAAATCTATATATGATTATTTTCGTCAAAAGAATATCTCATCCAAATACGCAAAACTCTACATATGAATAAATGAATACACAGTTACTAGACTAAATTGATGCCGACAAAGAAAAATTGTTAGGGCAAGAAGAGGCCAAGCTACTGACAGCCACAGCCTCGCTGAAATATATATATATATATATATATAAAAATATATAATTGGATTCGAACCCATTAAGCAACATGTGAAGTGAAACTTGGCTTTATGTTGATAATGATGCCCTTTGTTTTAGCGACATGTGAGTTGCAAAGTGCAATTTATATTTGATTCCTTTTCTTTTTTTTTGAAAAATTTCCCGTAAATGCTTTGTATGAACCATGAAGTTGACAAGAGAATCTTAGACCAAACCCTAAGGCCATAAACAAAAAGCCATAATGATTGAAGTATCTAATGCCTATGTTCCGCCCCCCCAAGTTGCAATTTTAAATATATTTTTTTGGTTAAAAGTTGTGTATAAATATCACTTTTACCCCAAAAAAATTACTTTTAAACCAAGTTGCAAATTTAAATATTTTGTGAGAAATTTCTTCTTTTTTTTTTTGCATAAATATCACTTTTAATTATAAGTGAAACCTTCCTAAGCAAACACCATACATTAAAACCCTTCTTTATCTTTGAATATATGTTATATATATTTGTGTATATATATATATACAAATATCGTGTCATATCATATATTATTGTACACTACAATAAAAAATAATGGGTTGATTTTACACTAAAACTCTTTAATTTTAATATTTTATAGTGCTTTATAGCATGGATGTGAATCATAATTCTTTTCTCTTTAAAGAAAATGCTCATTGCCAGAATATATATTATCATGGGAAAGGGCGAATGTGGAGTCATTTTACCCTCTAATGAATATACATATATATATATATATATGAATTTTATATTATTATTATATTTTTTCTGTTAAACTTATTATTATTATTATTATATTAGATAATATGATAAAACAGTAAAAAAAAGATTCCAATAAAAGCTGAAGGAATTACTTTAAGTTTGTTGGGTGTGTATCTCATTTTATTCTCACGTCATTCGATAAAATTTTATATATGCATCACTTGATTATTTGTTATATTTTTATTTATTATCTGCAGATTTCGGCTTTGTCAAATTATAATTTTTCATCGACTTAAAACATAGAAGAAATACTTTTTTTTTTGAAATATACTAGATACACACGCGCATATATATATATATATGTATATAAAATTCGATCACACACACACACACATATATATATATATATATATAATTCAATTATTTTGGAAATTCGGAGCAAGTTGGCATTATTGGTGAATCTGTTCCTCAAACGGAACATTGATGGGTTCCAATTGATGGAATTGGCGACCAATATACGCATCTCTATAATTGCCACGTTGACTTTGAACAAAGACCATTGATTCCGAATTATTCTTAAAAATCCAACGATAACTAGCTAGATTCTTCTTTTAATGGTGTATGCATATATTTTAACCTCAGTGATTTCCATTCTTACAATCAAACTCTAAAATAATTAAGATTGAATAATTTAAATATTTTTTCTTAATTATATATATAAAGGAGCAAATCTAAACATTTATTATAAAATATAAAAATAAAGGATATTATTTTGGTTTTATTTTATGTACGTATAAAGTTAATACCATCTTTTTCTTAATTTTTATATAAAATAATTTAAATAAACAAGATTAACCTCAGTGAATTTCTATTCTTGTTGTAATCAAACTTTAAAAGTAGTAAAGTTGGAAAATTATAAAGAACTGATGATATAATGCATCCATTTTGTTTTTTTCGATTATCTTATTCATAGTTATTCAATAATTTTGTATTGTTCATATGTGTATTAAAGTTGGTAAAAAAAAAAAATCAAACGATTTCAAAATATAATTAGTAGAATTATATATAATAATTTTTAGATAAGTTTTTCTTCCTAGATCATAAAAATAACATTAATATATTACTTTCAGAATCCATTATATGAACCATGAAAATGCTTTGTCATACGTTATTGACACTCCATTATATACACATATACATCGGCATCGCCACAATATAACCAAAACACGAACCTTTCTGTAAGCTGACTTTAAAGGTCGTACAACCTAAAACATTTGATTATTATTTATTGAATTGAATAATAACTGGCCTTAGTAGACTGTCATTTTATGAATTTGGTGTCCACAATACAGCATGCATATTTGTTGTTGGGTCCCTAAATACACGACATTAGGAAATAAGTTCTTTTTTATGCAAGTTGCATATATTGGACAACTTTACCAGAAATATCTTTATAAATTTTTATTTTCTTTTCATGAAATCTTTACACCTTGGACCAACCAACAACGTATATATACAGTCTTCTTTTGATATAGTAATTTATATTTTTTGCTTCTTTGTAAAAGAGATCCGATGAAAACGTAAAATCTGCGATTGGTAGGCTGTAAACATTAAAAATTTTCCATGTGTATCTAAAGTTGGTAAAAAAATCAAACGATTTCAAAATATAATAAGCATATCATAATCTTTTTAGATAAGTTTTTCTTCCCAGCTCATATTTGAATATATGGTACAAGATTTGTTTTTTTTAATGTTATGAATTAATGAACATTAAAAAGAGAGTCCACTTATTTTATGATATATTTTATCTGTCGTTTTTTTTTTTTGCCAGAGTTTTCCCAATATGAATAAAGCTTTTGCCTCACTAAGACTTTGCAGTCAAATCATATAAAATATCAAATGCATTATAAAGAAGAAAAAAAGCAAAGAAAATCATATTATAAAAAAAGGAAAGAGAAAGGAAAAAATTTCCCCCTTTTTTTTAGTGCATTGCTAAAAAAAAAATAAAGGGCTCACTTAGGAGATGCTACAGAATATACCTTATGAGACTCTTTTAGTGTTTCGGTTTACATTTATAAAAAAAGGGGTCATGTCCGATATTATATAATAGTATTTGAATTATGTATGATACCATAAAGTATACTTTTTAACCAATCCAAAAAAATCTAATTGAAAACGAAAATATATTTCATAATAAAAAAATGGATGCGATTTCTTATGTGAAATTCAATATGAAAAATGTATATATATATATATATATATATATATATTTGTATTGTTGTGTGTTCTTTTATAGATATAGATCCCGGGATTATAGCCTTAAAGTCATAAAAGAAACAATCTAAGCATGCAAGTTCTTTTAAGAAAATTATCAGACACTTTGGAAAAATAGTGATTGAGATTTGAGAGTCTAAGACAGTGTCTTCAGATATTTTAAATCTTAAACACATTACCTTTTCGAAGGTCAAATGATTAAATTCGTAGTGTAGAAGTTTGATGTATATTTATATAGGAGGGAGAAATGATCTTATGTGATGACGTCCATTGAAAGTCCAGTGGAACATATCTGCAATCGACGGTTAAGATTTCATTTTCATCCATTTACAATATGTTATTTTTCAGGATCTTACATTTACATTTTTGTCTCTTATCAAATATCACGCGTAAAATACTAAATAGAATTCCAAACAGCACAGCAGGCCGTTTCGTCGAAATGGAGCCGCACACCGTGCCGTTTTACCCTTGGGTCATCTTTCCCTCAAGCAGTACCCTCTCAATTCACAAAAGATATACAAACTTCTCTTCAATCTAAAAGTATAACCAAGAATCGAATCTACACAACCTCTCACTGATCATTCCCTCGAGCGTATCGATCCGTTTCACCGTCATTCTTCGAGCACCGAGCTGATAACCTGAATGTTACGGCAAAATACAGAATCAGATTGATCAAACTCAACATCGTTAGCACCCAGTAATAGTTATCCAACCGGCTCTTGTCTATCGTGTCCTGAAACCATTTCCCTCCGCTTACTCTGCTCAACACCCTAACCAGAACGATACTGCTTGTCATCCCGACCCCGCACACGCCCACGTTGAGCAGAACCATGTACCTGCTCATCTGTTCGGGAACCGTCTCTTCCAAGTGAAGTGCAAAGCTGTTTTCGTAGATTCCCGTTATCGAACCGAGCAGAATGTACTGAGGTAGAAGCCATAGTACACTCATGGGGACGGCGGTTTCGGAGAGAAATCCCCGAGTTTTCGTTACTCTCAGCCTCCTAGCCTCGACATGCCCCGCAATGAGGCAGCAGAATATCGATAGGATTATGGAAACCGGGATACCATGCGGAGATTTCGTCATGCCATGGCGTTTGGAAGCTCTGAGGCATAATTCTCGAGACCCAAGTCTTGCAGCCTCGCTGAAGAGTAAGAGGAGGGGGAGGGGTAAGTTCCATGATCCGATCTTGGTGTCCATATGGTTCGCTTGTTCGAGAAAGAAAGTGTTTCCGAGGGAGAAAACCACTCCGGATATGATGGATGTGGTGAATAAAGGAACTGTGTGCATGACACTTTTGGTTTCCTCCACTTCTGTCACTCTGCAGAGTGTCCATCTGTTCTTCCTCTGTTGCTCCAATGGCTCCGAGGGTAGTATCATCGCAGCTCGATCCAGACACCTATGGTTTGGAAAGAAAGCGTTCAGAGACAAGACATGAATCCATGATGCAGTAACTGGAAATGTCGGTTTTGAACTAATAAGGGCAGGAAAAGTATAAAACTTGAACCTGAATCCACTCGTATGGGGCTTCAGATCTGGATCAAGCTCGGGTTGTTCATAGAGTTGTGCTGGATTGTTCGGGTTTCTGCAGGATATTTTGAAACCAGAAGCCACGAAGACCCGGAATATGGTTGTGAGAGGGCTCCCTTCAGGTTTTTCCTTTTTGTATGAACAGAAACCGGAGAGAAAAACCAGCATGGCTACCACCTCACACCCGGCAGGAATCACGAATCTTACAAACCATGGATTTATCTGAGGAATCGCTACAGCAGCTAGCAAAGGGAAGATGAAATTCCCGACATTTCCGATGACAAAGCCAATGAGCATTGCAGGATCATCCCTTTTTGCATTTTCTTCTATTTGATCTTCCGTGAATGCTCCCAAGGATATCGAGTGGCCGAATATGCCGATGGATATCACTGCCAGTGCAGTGTAGAAAAGAAGCCTCTGCCCTTCTCCAATGCATCCAGACTCAATCGCATTACAGAAAACACTGCCACTGGAAAAAATCGGCGATGCTGATACGGACAAGAACCCAAAACCCTAAACATGAGATGCTTACATGTTTCAGTCTTCAATCCATGTAGAAACCGACAAATTTAAACCGTAAAAAAAAAAAAACAAATCTCTGCAAAAGAGAATGAAAGGTTAAGCTCTTACCAAACTTAAAGCTATAGTGGAGAGGAAGAGCATCCAAAAGTGACCAAGATATGCATCAACTAGGAATTGCATGACGAGATGGCCGACGGCAGATACACCCGCAAACACATTCACGATAGCAGCAGCGTCTGTAAACTTCAGTTTCCACGCGTTTGTCAAGTACAGCATCAACATCCAGAGGGTAAACCATGCAATAGTAAAAACCCACGACAGAACTGCCAAATCAAAGCAGAAATGGAAGCTCATCAAACAGTCACAAATGGAGAAACCGATGGAGCATTTCAGAACAAAATCATTAACCAAACAATTATCGTAATAAAAAGCTAAAACAAGAAAAATTAATGGCCAAGATCAAGGATTGCCTCGGAGATACTAATAGAAATCTCAATCGGACATCGTAGATGTTTGCATCAAAGGTAACACGAATCATTTGCAGCACAGACAAACTGTCGAAGAGAACGTAATTCCGACTCACCGATGACTCTGAGAAAGGATGCCATTGGAGCATGACCCAAGAAATCAATATCAAAAGAATCAATGACCAAAGAAAGGGCAATGCCGAAACACAATCATCGAGACAAAGATCATACGGTGTTGTATCAAACACAGAAGATGAAGAACTGAGCTGAACACCGCAGGTTTTGAGTCTTTTGACCAACATCCATTCAATCATAGAGACCAAAACTGTGCAGAGCAAAAATGGAGGCAAAGACGTGTACAAATTCATATAAAATTTACGGAACCGGCGAAGAAATTCTAAGATATTCTGATTGCACTACTGTTGTTTGGCTTGGTCAAAAGCAGATATTCTAATCAATGCAATAGAATTTATATTCAGATTTCAGAATAAATAAACAAATGATCGTCGAAGAAACCAGTTCATTGTCAGCACATATCCTCGATGGCAGAAGGATTATATAATTTTTCATTTGATTAATGGAATCAAAGCAGAGTCGCAGAGTCGCAACACCTTAATGCCAGAAGTTTCTCGGGAAACGAACAGCCTCCCACGAAAACGTTTCTCCGCATCATCCATGTAGATTTTAACGAATCGGACCATCGCAGGAACACAGGAATTCAAACGCGTACCCCGCACATGATCCTTTCGTCCATGTCAACCGTAGCACCAGAAACCTTGGCGCAGGGCCAGATTTTCTGTCTCAGAACACCTGTTCGGATATGGATCGCCGGAGATGGAGGATGATGAAGGAACATCGCCGCCTCCGGCGCCTTCCATCCTTTCCCGCCATGATCACTGTCGGAAAACGTAGAGGAAAACAGTAGTCTTCGTTGGCCTGGGAGGGCGCGCACAGACTCGCCGGCCGAGCCGACGCCAAAGCACGCGCCGCCGCGTCCGTAACACAGCCTTAAAATGTTCGATAGATTCTGAATAGGTCAGGCCCATTGTTTATATTTGGGCTCAAAGGCCCAAATCATTAAAATTTTATAATCCACGGATAATAATTTTACACCTAAAACTTGTACGGGCTAAGTCTCATTTTGACATATTTGGCCCAAAGCCCAAATCCTTCACGGGTTTTTAAAACAAAAAAAACATATTGATTCTACAATTCATTCAAATAAAATTTTAAATTATTTTTAAAATATCTGATTCGAGTGATTTATTTATAAAGGTATACGATTGTAAATTATATTATACCGAGCGCGTAGTTGTAAAATTTACAATGAATTTTTCTAAATTGTTAGATCTTTTCAATTAAATTTATAGAAACAATATATATATATATATATATATATGTATTTAATTAATGGGATTTTTTTTAAAGCACATTATAGATTCAGAGAGAACTCGCATTAAAAAATTGTGCATTTGCCACGTGTCGAAACGTCAGAGGATGTGGACAAATCAACAACTCAAGACGCATCGTCCGGTGGAGATAAGGAAGGAGACAATTAGACAGCAGAGGGAGGAAGACACTTCGTTTTGTCCGTACACTGGAACAGGAAGAACAGAACAATGGAAATCTACGGTCGAATCGTCGGTTTGAAATGTCCCAGATTCCTTCTCAGAAACCCTAAATCTCCTTCATCATCTTCTTCTTCTCCTTCTTCTCGATTCCTCTGTTCGCGAAGAGATCCCGACGAGCCCTCTCGGAAGAACGGCGACGACAACGGTGAGAGATTCAGTTTCTTTTCAATCAGAGTGGTTCTTGTAAGAATTTCGACAAAATTCTACGTAGATTCAGATTCGTGTTCTCGTAATCTGTAGTGGGTCTGTTGCGATGTAGAATCCAAAGCTTATTTCAAACTGAGCCTTTGTGGGCATTGAGAGAACGTAAGATTCTGTGGATCAAAGATTGAATCTTTAGATATGAACAGATGAGATTCAGATTCGAACACATTCAAGTGATTGATCCCAACGATGTAGCTACTAGCCAATGAAATTGATCATATAGATTTAAACCAAACTCGTTCATTGATCTTTCTCTCTCTCCTTGCGTGTTTTCTTGAACCACACAAGTGTTTCCATTAGCTTTAAACATAAAATCAGTTGTATAGTTTGTATATCGCTGTATAAGCGGGCGTATATGTTTGGTAAGCCTATTTAAGATGCACAGTTGCATGGTTGAATGCATAGCAGAAGTTTAACAAACTCTTCTGCTTCATTTTCTCGGTTTCTCCCCTCTGCTCCTCATTTTCCCGGCTTTTCTCGTCTGCCAAACACATTCTTGTTTGGACCTGAGAAAAGAGTGAGGTGAGTGGAATCAGAGCTGGTGAAGTTTCGTGTGATAATGCCTGACTAAAAACCTCTCCTTCTGTGTCTCCGCAGGTGATAAGTCTTCCACGGATTGGGACAAGGCATGGAAGAGCTTCAAGAACCGAAGCAAGAAGACTCTGTTTCCGAGGTTTTCAGCCGACAAGTACGTGAGCTGGAATCCTCGGCGGTCGGAGTATCCGCTGTCCGAAGAGGTCGATCCCATCAAGAGAACGGAGAGGTCTAACCTCATGCTGTGGACAAGTCCCCAGTTCACTCTGGTCGGCGCCATTGTCATCCTCTCCTTCCTCCTTCTCTACACCATTCTTGCTCCTGTCAAGTGATTTACAACGTGTTCTTGATGTTTTCCTGCAACTGGGTTCGTCGCCCTGAGAGAGGAAGAAAAGAGGCAAGTGCTCGTGATGATGATTTGACTTCGGTCAAGGCCATGTATAGTGATTGTTGATATCCAAAGATTCTATATGAACATAACCTTTTTTTTTTTTTGGTTAAGAACCTCGTAATATATAAAACAATCAAACTAGTTGTTAATGCCAATCCAAAGCAAATGGATTCTGAAAGTTCTGTTCTCGATCTGGCAAATAGATAGGGGTGTCGAAATGGCCGGACCAAGCAGGAACCGGCCCGACCCGAAACATGATCGGACCTAAAACCTTCGGCTCCGAAATCCGATTCTATTAGTTTTTTTCGGATTCGAACCTGGATTCGGGTTTGAATATTAGAAAAAAAAAAGTACAAAAAATAAAATATAAAACAAGTTAAAGAAAATTAAAATACAAAAACTTTAATACATTTAGGGATAATAAAAAGATGAAATTCAATAACAAAGTTATAAATTTTGCTTTAATGGCCATTCAAATTTGAATTCTTTAGTTTTATATAATAAGAACTTTGTTTAAAATATTAAATTACTATATTTTTTTGCAAAAAAATAATTAGAAGATTAATTTTTATAAAAAGTCTCACTGATCTAATTCAATTCAAAGTTGTTGGAAATGCCTTGACTGAAACTTCTGCTGAAATTAGAGGGTTAGTAAGGGTAGAAAAGTAATTAGTCAGGGAAGTTAGTTGAAGTCTGTTAACTCTGCGTATTATAAGCAGAGGATCTTCTTCCTCCTCCTGTAATTTTTCTTTTTCTTGAATACTCTTCATATTCTGGGTTTTGGGGAGAGATTTCAGAGAGAGAGAGTTCCTCAGTCCTTTGTAAATCTCAAGTTGTAACCTCAGGGAATCACTAGTGAATTGCCAATTCCACTTGGCCGAGACGTAGGATCATCAAGATCCGAACTCGTTAAGTTTCTGGTGTTCGTCTTCTACTTTCGGATCTGTTCTTGGTCGTGTGTGAGTTCTGGGAAATCGTCAACAAGGAGAATTCGCAGTACAACTGGTATCAGAGCCCCGTTCAGATCCAGGGAACATTGCTTGTACAAGAACCGAATCCAGGTGATCAGTTTTTTCAACTCATCTCTTTCTTGAGTCTCAGAAAAGCTTATTGACCGGGTATGGCTTCTGCGCCAATGGTGGTAAAATTGGATGTGGAGAAGTATGATGGGAAAGGCGATTTCTCATTATGGAAGGATAAGGTTCTGGCAAGCTTGAACATTCTACAATTGAGCGATACCATAAAGGACGGATATGTTTTGGGAATAAAGGATTCACATGAAGAATCTGATGAACCCAGAACAAAGTCTGAAGAAGAAGGTAAGAAACCCGAAATAAAGAAGAAAACAGGCTTATCTCAAGAACTCAGACTCGAGAAGAGTCAAAGAGTTAGGAATCTGATCTTTCTCTGCTTAGGAGATCAGATCATGAGAAAGGTAAAAGGAGAACAATTTGCCGAAGGGATTTGGAAAGCCTTGGAGCGGGAGTTCGTGCATAAAACAATGCCGAACAAAATGTACCTAAAACAAAAGCTTTATGGGTATAAGATGGATGAAACAAAGACAATGGAGGACAATGTGGATATGTTTCTGAAGCTGATAAGCGATTTATCATCTCTGCAAATCGAGATCCCAGAAGAGGATCAGATTATGTATCTTTTGAATGCTTTACCAGAAAGGTATGAACCATTAAGGGATACAATCAGATTCTCTAGGAAGGAAGAAATAACCATGGAAGACATCACATCTGCTATATACTCAAAGGAGCTGGAGTTCAAATCAAAAGGCAAGGTTAGCTCAGGGGAAGGTTTGCTTGTCAAAGGTAAACCAGAAAAGAAAGAATTCAGGAACAAGAAAGGAAAATCTGGAAAAGGGAAAAGCAAACCAAAGACCAAAAGTGAAACTGGTTGCTGGTTTTGCGGGAAGGAAGGCCATTTTAAACGAGAATGCCGAAATAGGAAGAAATTCCTGGAGGAACAAGGAAAAACAACAGGGGAGGCAGCAGCAGCCACTTCAGGAAAAGATGAAGAAACGGAAGTACTGACAGTATCTGAAAAAGAACCCAAAGAACAATGGATCCTAGACTCTGGCTGTACATATCACATGACTCCAAGGAGGGATTGGTTTTCAAACTTCCAAGAAACTGCAGGTGGAAGAGTACTGATGGGAAATAACGGATCATGTGAGGTAAAAGGAATAGGAGACGTGAAAATAAAGTTTCATGATGGAAAGATAAGAATTCTGAGTCAAGTAAGATTCATACCGGATCTGAAAAGGAACCTCATATCTTTGGGATCTTTAGATAATCTTGGTATGGTCTATAAATCCCAAGGAGGAAAGCTCGAGGTCTACAAAGGAAAGGTGCAAGTAATGTGTGGTCTGCTTCAACAAGGTCTGTATGTACTCCAAGGAGAAACCTTAGAAGGTGAAACCAATGTCTCTGTATCAGAAGACGAGACTAAAATCTGGCATAGAAGACTAGGGCATATGAGTAACAGAGGAATGCAAGTAATGATACAGAAAGGTCTACTGAACAAAGACAAGGTTAAGACTCTCGCGTTTTGTGAAGACTGTGTTATGGGCAAAACTCATAGAGTAAGTTTTGGAAGAGGAAAACACATCTCAGAAAACGTCTTGGACTACATTCACTCAGATTTATGGGGATCCTCCAGTGTAAGCCCTACTCTAGGAAAAGCCAAGTATTTCATATCCTTCATTGATGACAAATCAAGAAAGGTATGGATTTACTTGCTTAAAACCAAAGATGAGGCTCTGTCAAGATTTAAAGAATGGAAGAGCATGGTTGAGACACAAACAGAAAGAAGAGTCAAAATTCTGAGAACCGACAATGGGCTTGAATACTGCAACACACAATTCGATCACTTCTGTCAAGAAAATGGGATCAAAAGGCACAGGACATGCACATATACTCCTCAACAAAACGGAGTAGCCGAACGCATGAATAGGACCATAATGGAAAGGGTAAGAAGCTTGCTCAGTGACTCAGGATTAGGAGAAGAATTTTGGGGTGAAGCAGCTGCAACAGCTGTCTATCTGATCAACATGTCGCCATCAAGTGCCATAGACATGAACCTACCCGAACAAGTCTGGAATGGAAGGGAACCAAGTCTGGGACACTTAAAAAGATTTGGTTGTGCGGTCTATGAGCACATCAGTCAAGGGAAACTAAAACCAAGAGCAAGAAAAGGATACTTCATGGGATACCCATCCGGAACCAAAGGATACAGAATATGGCTACCTGCAGAAAGGAAAGTGATAATAAGCAGGGACGTCATATTCAAAGAAGATGAAGTATACAAGGACCAAAATAAAGGAACTCATGAAGACACAGAAATAAAAGAGAAACCTGTGAATTCATTGAGAATAGGGGTCACAGCTGGATCAGAAACCAGAGAAATTCAAAACCTTAGAGAATCCCTAACTCAAGGTGGAGGAATTCAAGAAAATCCAGAAGAGACAGAACAATGGAATGATCATCTATCTGAATCAGAAACAGAAGATCATGAAGAAGAGCTTGACGAAGTTAATGAAAGTCTGAGGAATTATCAGCTAGCCAGAGACAGATCAAGAAGACAGATTCAACCACCTCAAAGATTTAGAGAAGAAAATACCTCAGCTTTTGCATTAGCTGCTGCGTCAGAACTGGATGAAGAAGAACCAAGAAGCTTCCAACAGGCTCTACAAACAAGAGACAAAATTAAATGGTTACAGGCCATGAAGGAGGAAATGGAGTCCCTGTATAAGAATGAAACATGGATACTGGTTAAGAAGCAGAAAAGTCAGAAGGTAATAGGATGTAAATGGGTTTTCAAAAGAAAACCAGGAATCCCAGGAGTTGAAGAGCCAAGATTCAAAGCTAGATTAGTAGCTAAAGGATACTCTCAGACCGAAGGTGTTGATTACAATGAGATCTACTCTCCTGTGGTGAAACACGTATCGATAAGACTACTATTAGCACTTACAGCTACAAGGGATCTGGAACTAGAACAACTAGATGTCAAAACTGCTTTCTTACACGGTGAACTAGAAGAAGAGATTCTGATGACACAGCCAGAAGGGTTTAAGGTGTCTGGAAAGGAAGACTGGGTGTGCAGACTAAAGAAGTCACTTTATGGTCTGAAGCAATCACCAAGACAATGGAACATCAGATTCGATAACTTCATAACAGAAAAGGGATTCTCACGCAGCAAACATGACTTCTGCGTGTATTACAGAAAGGTAAAACAGGACTCCTACATATATCTACTAATATATGTAGATGACATGCTTTTAGCAGCAAATAGTAAAGAAGACATAAAGGAGGTAAAGAAGATGCTTGGAGCTGAGTTTGATATGAAAGATTTAGGAAAAGCAAGCAGAATCTTGGGCATGAACATACAGAGAGACAGATCAAAAGGAATCTTGACTGTGTCTCAAAAGGAATATCTTCAGAAAGTGGTTAACAACTTCAGTATGGCAGATGCTAAACCAGTCAAAACTGCCATGGGATCCCACTTCAAACTCAGAAGCTCACAACCAGAAGACGAGGTGCTAAACCTGGACACGACTCCATACTTAAACGCAGTCGGAAGCATCATGTATGGCATGATTGGCACAAGACCTGATTTAGCCCACAGCGTGGGGTTGATAAGCAGATTCATGAGCAACCCCAATAAGGATCACTGGACAGCAGTCAAATGGGTACTCCGATACATCAAAGGAACACTTGATAAGAAGTTGGTCTACTGTAAGGAATCAGATTTCGAGCTAATCGGATATTGTGACTCAGACTATGCCACTGATCTAGATAAGAGAAGATCAATCACCGGGTACGTCTTCACCATAGGAGGAAGTGTCATAAGCTGGAGGTCCGGCCTTCAACAAGTAACAGCGCTATCAACAACAGAAGCAGAGTATATGGCACTAGCTGAACCTGTCAAAGAAGCTTTGTGGCTAAAAGGACTCACACAGGAACTCGGAATCAAACAGAGAACTGTCAAAATCTTCTGTGACTCTCAAAGTGCCATATGCCTAGCGAAAAACAATGTGCATCATGAAAGGACAAAGCATATAGATGTGAGATTCCACTTCCTGAGAGAAGTAATCACAGAAGGGAAGATTCAAGTCTTGAAGATAGACACTCAAACAAATCCAGCAGACATGCTCACAAAGCCACTTCCAGTCGACAAGTTCAACCGAGCTCTGAGTTTTCTCAGAGTCACCGGCGGATAACGCTGGTAAGACCCTGTCAAGGGGTATATAAAATGGGTTGGTAAACTTCACTAGTGATGAGAGGAAAAGATTCTCATAGTTTCAGCAGAGGACAATCAAGGCAAGGTGGAGTTTGTTGGAAATGCCTTGACTGAAACTTCTGCTGAAATTAGAGGGTTAGTAAGGGTAGAAAAGTAATTAGTCAGGGAAGTTAGTTGAAGTCTGTTAACTCTGCGTATTATAAGCAGAGGATCTTCTTCCTCCTCCTGTAATTTTTCTTTTTCTTGAATACTCTTCATATTCTGGGTTTTGGGGAGAGATTTCAGAGAGAGAGAGTTCCTCAGTCCTTTGTAAATCTCAAGTTGTAACCTCAGGGAATCACTAGTGAATTGCCAATTCCACTTGGCCGAGACGTAGGATCATCAAGATCCGAACTCGTTAAGTTTCTGGTGTTCGTCTTCTACTTTCGGATCTGTTCTTGGTCGTGTGTGAGTTCTGGGAAATCGTCAACAAGGAGAATTCGCAGTACAAAAGTTCATATAGTTTTATTAAAATCTGAAATAACGGAATCCGTCATTTGTATCTTGATTTCTCCGTTCCCTCGATTAGGCTTTGTCATGTATAAATTTTGTGATCCAAATTGTTACAAATTAATGTTTTTATGTATTGGGCAATTGAGACTATTTGAAAATTATATATATATATATATATATAAGAGTAACCAAAATATAAGAATAAGAGAGTATGAAAATGTTTAAATTCATATTCGATCCTACAAAATACAAATATAGGAGGTAACATTCTCTAAAAAAATATATCAGAGTTTCCAAATAGATATACATTTTTGTACACAAACAGACTTTATTTAAAAAAATTATATCCATACAAACTTTAAAAAGTCATCGAAGTTTTAGAAACAGTATTAGAATATATCGATATTTTTAACATTTTAAAATATTAATATGTATTTTAAACGATATTTTGCATTATAGTTTTTAAAATATAATATTGTATATTATAATAAATATTGTGACAGGATCTTATAATATTTAAAATTTTATAAACAAAGTATTTATTTGAGATTTTTTTTAATAATTGAAGTGTGTTTTTATGTGATTTACGGGAATTTTTGAATTCTAACAAAAAATAATTTCCTAAAATTTCAGATTTGGACAGGTGGGAAGAAGAAAGACACCATTGAGCAAACTACAGTTGAGTTCGAGTTAATGGACATTAAACTTGGATGAATTAAATGTAAGCCATTTATTACATCAAATACAAATTAGATTTTGTATCCACGTTCGACGTTGACTTTTGAAACATTACGTTGCTCTAGAATTGATTATATTATATGACACGATTCATGTTTTTCTCTCCTTCCAATTTCAACCCCATGCGTTTTTATATGAAATTAAGTGTGTAACGGTTAAATTTATAAAATTACCAAATTCTAATGTAATTTTAAATTTATTTTATTGATTATAAGTAAAATAATAAAAAATAAATTAAATTAAATAATTCACTAAATCCGACATAAAAAGTCGAATTTGTATAAAATTGTTATTTTATTGGTTCTAATATTATATAACTTTAAGGTATTTTTTTAATATAAATATAGATAATCATTTCGATTCGGTTAAACAAAACCGAAACTATCATAACCAAATAACACATACAATATAACTATATCTAACTTCAATCCGATATAAGAAAAAATCAAATTAGTGTAAAATTTTAAAAATTCTATTTACAAACCAAATATGAAAATCGACAAATTTATCAATAACAATCAAACATAGACTGAATCAAAATTATGTAAACCAAATCCGCACGAAAATAATATCTATTTAATTTTTCTAAACCCTAAAAAGAATAAGAAGAAAAAACTAAACATAATCAAACCAAAATCCAGAAAATATACGGAATACTTATTTTCTCTGATTTAATTTTTTTTTTTGGGTCAGTGTCTCACGCACGTGTTCAAATCCAGCTTCACGCGGATTCAACCAACGAGACACGTATCCAACGAAGTTCGCACCTAACTGTGTTATGTAACCAAAACGACGTCATCTTCCTCCCTTCGGTTCCAACTAACTTTCAAAGGTCCCTTCTCTTCCCCCAACTAACGTTCAAACCCTTAACGCAACCAAACAAAAAACCATATCTGCAAGCTTCTCATGTACCCTGTTTCGGCTTCCAGCTCCACCTCCGCCAATCACGAATCGCCACATAGACTAGCCACGTGACACGTGGATCATCCTGTTTCCCCTTCTCAGGGCACGCGCCATAATCAAGAGCCGCAGACGGATAAGCTCTGTTACAAAAGGAGACTCTCTCTCTCTCTCTTTCTCGTATCGTTCTGCAACGTCTGGATGAGCTTCAGATCTTCACGAGTTGACCCAGTGAGTCTCCTCGTTTCTTCCTCCTCTGTGGTGCTGAATTCGAAAGCTTTAGCCTTTTAAGATAGATTCGGAGATCAGGGCTTTTCTAGTTTCATTTCCAAACTGCCTCTCAACATCTTAAGTTTCGGTTTGGTTTTATGATCTATCGCTGATCTTTCCTTTCTCTTTCGCTGATTTATCTGCTTATCTCGTGGCATCACGTCATGTTTACGCTGTTGTGACTTTAAATACCTTTTCTTACAACATCAGACGGAAATCTGTGGATCTTTCAGGTTATCTGAAATCGGGTTACCGAGTTTTCGAGCGTAGAATTCAACACTTCGATTGGAAAAAAAATGGAGATGAAGGAGGCAGAAAGAGTGGTAATAGCTAGACCGATTGCCTCGAGGCCTTCGTGTTCGGGTTTCAGGACGTTTACGGAGCTTCTGACTAAGTCAGTTAACGTCTCTCCACAAAAGATTTGCCCTGAAACCGTTGTTGTTTCGGCTATAAAGCCGAAGACTCTAAGGTTCAGACCGTCGGGGAATGGCGAAGCTTCGGCTATGTTTTCTCGGGTAATCTCCCGCAATCTGGCTCTCTTGTTATTGTTCTTCCGATTCTTCTTTCATCGATTCTTGACTGTTTTTATTTGTCTGAAAATTTATAGGGCCAAGTCTCTGCTAACGGTAACGAGAACAAGCTTGAAGATAACAGAAACTATGTTGTCTATAAGCCTAAAGCAAAGGTTGTGTCCAAGGCGACGATCTCGGCTTTGGCGAATATGGTAAGTGATTTCAGTTTCAAGATTACGACTTTGTGACGATACGAACGGAAATTTATCGACTTTTTTTTTCGTTATAGCTTCAGGGGAAGGTAAGTGTAGATCTTCAAGAACCCTTGAAACAGACAGAAGTGTTCCTGCAGACATGGAGCCGCCAAAACAGACAGAACCATCCTTGTCCGAATCTTGTTCAGAAAGTTCCAAACTTTTCGGAACTGAATGCTAGATCTTCCGAAACATCGAGGGGAGATCGGTCTTGTCTCGACGGGTATAACTGGAGGAAATACGGGCAGAAGCAAGTGAAAGGGAGCGAGTGTCCGAGGAGTTATTACAAGTGCACGCATCTGAACTGTCCAGTGAAGAAGAAGGTAGAGAGATCATTAGACGGCCAGATATCAGAGATTGTGTACCAGGGTGAACACAATCACCCGAAACCTTGTCTTCCACCCCGACGAAGTTCCTCATCAGCCTCGCAGAAATTAGGGTTTGCTTCTTCGGGATCGCCCCATCAAGAGCCTCTGGTCTATTCCCAGTGGAGGAATCGTCATCAGTTCAGCGGGAGAAACGACTGGTCTGAAGGTAGGGTGGAGAACAGGAAAGGGGTAAGTGTTTCGGCGAATTCTGAATTCGCTGTCCCGAGGGCGGGAAACTCAGCTGCTGGAGCTTCGGATTCTTGTTGTCGGAGCGGCGAGTGTGATGAAACTAGCAAAGGATTTGATGGAGAGATTGATGACCCCAAATCAAAGAGAAGGTAAGAGATGTTTTTAGCATTTAACTCAAACCCTACACCCTAAACCCTAAATCCCGAAACCCTAAACCATACGAAAGTCTAAATTCTTGGAACACAAATCCAAAGAGACAGGATCTCGGATCAAAACACGAAGATCTTTCACCGCTAATTCACGTTCGATCTTTTTCTCTCCCTACAGAAAGAACGAGCATCAAACCAGCGAAACTGGCGTTTCAGAGGACTGTTCAGGAGAACCGAGAGGACAATCTCAGGGTTCAGTGGACTCGGATGCTCTCGAAGACGGATTCCGCTGGAGAAAGTACGGACAGAAAGTCGTCGGAGGAAATCCATTCCCCAGGTTCCCAAAAACAGATACCGAGCTTCAAGAACATTGCCGATCGAGTTTTTGTTTCTTTCCATATCAGATCTTTTTCTGAAACATTGATCTTGATCTTGTTCAGGAGCTACTACAGATGCACGAGCACGAATTGCAGAGCAAGAAAGCACGTGGAGAGAGCGTCTGATGATCCGCGAGCTTTCATTACAACCTACGAAGGCAAACACAACCACCAGATGCCCTTCAGGCCGCCTTCTTCGCTTCTTGAACATTCCAAGTAGCTGCTGCCAAGAAGATTCCGGAATCTTCTAGAAGTTTATATATATGAGAAACAAAAAAAAACTTGAGAGTTTCATTCTTGGGCGAAAATGTTTGCTTTGTCTGCATTATTACAGTAGGTCAAAACATTGATTTATATGTGTTTTTCATTTCATGTTGTTTGTAATATTTCCTCTCAAGATTTGAAATTAATTTCAAGGATATAAAATCTTCAACTGTTTTTATATAATTTGCATTGCGAATCATCCATTTTTTCCCCCTCTTTTCAATACCGTATTCAGCAAGTAAAGCCCGTGCGAATATGTTAGGTGTGTTTAATGTCGTCTTTTCTTCTCTCTCTCTCTCTCTTTTTTGTCTTTATTATTGCAATTTTTAATATTGGATTTCACAAAAAAAAATATTGCTTTTGGCATTATTAATATTAAAAAAAATGGTATTTTCTTACGAAAAAAAAAATTGGAGTAAGGTGGAGTTCGGAGATTCGATTTACCAAATGAAATAAACGTAATTAATCTCTCTCGCTGGATAATAAAAATTATTAGGTTGATTAATTAAAACATATAGAATTGAAACTCCAGTCTTGTTGGATCGGATGTTACACCATTAAAATTTAAAACACATAATTCATTATATTTTACACAACAAATTGCTTTAAATAATTCATATTATACACACGATCTATCCTGAAGTCACGTTTTACTTTTGAAATTTTAAATTAACCAACAATTTAGCACATGGCTAAAATAATAAATACATTATAAAAGGAAAAAATATAATATTTTACTTAGAGCACATAATTTTTTTATTATCAAAGATAAAGAAAAATTGCATGTAAATAACTGAGTTTTTACAAAAATCCCAAATAAATATTTAAATTATAAAATTCTCAAATAAATATCTAAACTTTTCAAAACTTTTTTTTTGGTAAAATAACATTTTCAAAACTTTCTATATAAATATCTAAACTTTTAAAAATTTACTAAATAAAACAAAAAAAAAATCTATTAACGACGTTAAACTTATAACGGAGTCTGTCGATAATTGATGACTTAGTCGTTAGCGAATATTGTATTATTTGGTAAAAATAACCAAAAGTTTTGAAAAATTCAGGTATTTGTTTGAGAATTTTATAGTTTATGTATTTATTTGCGATTTTTGTAAAAGTTTAGGTATTTAGATAAGATTTTATTTTGAAAACAATAAGTTAAAATTACAGAAATATTTGAACTTTGACTTTGACGGTCACCGCGGCTCACGATGTAATGTTATCTGGACATTCAACCTATTTTTAAGCCTTCCAACTATCATTTTGCATAACTAGAAACACCAAATATAGGTAATCCAACGATGACGGCAGTGAAAGCCAAATGACCTCCTACAGCAATGGAAATCTTTATTTAGCACCCATCCATCTTTTTTTTGCACTATATAAGCATCGATATTTCCCCCACGATGATTTCCCACAACACCAACATTGTTTTTCTCCAAAAAAAAAAAAAGAAAATTCGAGAATTTTAAGACATAAGAACATCGATTACGAGGATGATGATGTGGAAAAGGGTCGCGGCATTGGCCATGGTTGTGATGGTGGTGATGGCGTTTGTGGCTGAAGAGACGGAGGGGAGACAGATTGACTACGGGGCGATAGGTAAGGGCGAGGTCCACCGCTGCAACAAGCTGCATCCCGCCGACTGCCGCAGAGAACGAGTCAACCCTTACCACAGGGGCTGTTCCGTAGAATCGGGATGCCGCCACGACCGCAAATTTGAACCAATACCAAAACCTGTTGTTCGCATCTAAGATTCTCCACCCGTCCGCATAAATACATTCTCTAAATTACTATTATTTAAAAGTAATAATTTTATTTGTTTACTTATTCATTATTTTTCTAAAGGTATAAAAATAATATCCATTTAACTATATATGTATTGTATTTGCTCTATTAGATTTATATATAAAAGAATTATCTAGTAATGAGATCCCAATGTTTTTGTTTTTTGTTTCTTTATTTTTCTGTCCCTAACACTCTAATGAACAATCCAAACATGTCATATGATCAAAGAGGTAGTGGAGAAGACGAACGATCTCCAACACTCTAATGTTGCTACTGTCTTCGGCTCTAAATCTGAAAACACTGTTATTGATCTCGATCCAGCTACAGCCCGGATTCGTCCTCAGCCCTCTGTCCTTCATCTCCTTCCTCACTCTCGCCGCCTCTTTCCAGTACCCGACACTCGCGTACAGATTCGCCAGCTGGACATGAGTCGCTGGGCATTCCGGCTCGAGCACCAGCCTTTCCTCCGAAGCCCTGATCCCCATCCAGACATCGCCATGGACACGGCTCGAGGAAAGCAGAGATCCCCATATGACCGCGTTCGGGTTCATGGGCATGCTCTGGATTAGATGAAATGCCTCTTGTAACAATCCAAATCTGCCCAGGAGATCGACCAGACATGAATAGTGGTCGAGTTCCGGGTCCAGACCGTGTCTGAACATCAACTTGAAGTAGTGTCTTCCTTTTCTTACCAGACCGCCATGTCTGCACGATGACAAGACTCCCAAATAGGTTATTCCATCTGGTTTTATTCTGTTTTCCGTCACCAATTCTTCGAAAAGCTCGATTGCTTGCCTCACAAGGCCGTGCTGGGCATAACCCGCGATCATCGAGTTCCAAGAGACAACATCTGTATCAGGCATTTGGTTGAATATACAGAGAGCGTCCTCCAAGCTTCCGCATTTGCAGTACATCGAGATGAGTGCGTTAGAGATGTGAATGTAAGAAGTGAAACCCAGCTGAAGCGTCTGAGAATGGACGCTTCTTCCTTGACCTAGAGCTCCACTGCCAGTGCAAGCGGTCAAAAGGGTCGTGAACGTGAAATCATTGGCCTTAGAGGCTGAATTTCTCATCTTGGAATACAGTTCCAAACAGATATCCACTCGCCATTCCTGCGCAAACCCTGAAATAACCGCCGTCCATGAAACTACGTTCTTCTCAGGCATTTCGTCGAACGCCTTATACGCGTTGTCAAGCTCACCGAGTTTTCCATAGAGAGCAATCAGCGAAGTTCCCACGTAAACATTGGATATAAACCCAGATTTCAAAGCCAAACAATGAAACCCTAAACCGGTTCGGAAGTCTCGATTCGATCCGCAAGAGCTCACGGCGTGAGACAAATCGCTGGCATCGAATCTCGACCCGTCTTGCTGGATACAGCTACTGTCAGAGCTTGAAGATTCCTCCCGCAGAATCTCGTTGAGAAAGCTCGAGATTCTATCTCTTGACCTCGAGACACCACAGTCCTGAAAGTGATGAATAATACGATGATTCTGGCGAACAGGAGCTCGGTCGGGTTCGGAGGAGATGATATCTAGAACTCTGAGAGCTCGGGCTCGCCTCTCGGCCTCAGATGTCTTGCTCGTTACGACGGAAATCGATAATGATCGAGTGTGACTGGATCTTGTCTGAAGATAATTAATGGCGGCGCTGCATGAAGTTCTTCTGAGACAATACATTAAACTACTTCACTTTCATGGAAAAAAGCCCCCATCAATAAACTTGCCCGAAATCCATTAGCTCGCTGAAGCTAATTATAGGGTTATGAAATGGGATCATAGCCTTAAAACATATGTATATAGGTATATGTTAAGATATAGTTTTGGAAAAAATAATAATATCAGGACTAATGTTTTTTAAATCATAAGATACAAGAAATTACAAGGAGGATTTGATAATTTCATGTTTTTATTAATCGTTTATATATTGTTGAATTTATTGAAAAAATCACTTTTTAAAAAATCTAAATCTAAATTTAAAATGATTTTTTTAATTCTGAACTCATTAACCAATGTATTGGGCCGATGAGGCTTCGGCTCATTAAATAGATTGGGCCATTGACAATGGCTTATATAAAAATTTAATGCCCATTTATTTCGGACCAATTTTAAGTGTAGACCCAATAATTGTCGGCCCAATGTTCAGTTGGGCCTATGTTACATAATGGTACGCTCGCACGTTCTAGAAAGACTTCATATGCCAAATTTCCACTTTTGTTTTCTTTTATTTTTATGGTTTCTTTGGATTTTCCATGGTTATTGAGTTGCAAAACTAGATAAGAACCAATTATAATATAATCTAGAGGAAGTATTTACTAAAATTTATAAATAATTAAAAATAGCTAAACCTCAAACATTAACAAATTTAGATATTTTTAGGATTTTTTTAAATGGAAATATCAAAAATTATATAATTGTGATTCATTTATAATATTAATTAATTATCATAGATTCTTTTTTTAAATTGAGATTAATATGGATATATTAATAAATATAATATATTAAATATAATTAAAAGAGGATTGTTTATTTAGATTCATATATAATTAAAACCTTAATTAGATATTTTTCAAATTAAAGATGATCTTGAGTCCAAAATCAGAAGAATCCGATCATCGAACCCATGGTTATGCTATAGTTCAATTCCTTGTTTTCTATGTTTTTTTTTGTTTGAAAATGTGCAAAGATTTGTCTGAAAATTTAGAGTATTTTTAATTTGGAAATTATACATATAGAAGTCCGGGCAATTAAAAATACTACAAAATTTTATAAATTAATAAAATTTCTAACCAAATTCTAAAATTTTTAGAAACAAAACGAAATTTGAAATCCAAAATATGTGCATTATATTATATATTATACCTAGAAGACATAAACAAAGAATGTTTTTTTTTTTGTTTTATCCAAATAATTTTTTATTTTCAAAGCTCAGAAAATATAAGCGGATGACGTGGACGTCCAGGATCAAGTCTGAGAGAAGGTAACGGCAAAATTACGTGGACCCAACGAGGGTCAACCTCGGCATGGTCAAACCATGTCATATTCAACTCGGCGCCATAGTCCGAACAAACCAATAACATATCGCCACGTATACAAATATCCTTCCTTTTTAATACATTATAGTGACTTTAGCATTTCCTTTCGGAAAGTAACCCGCACGCATGGCCGCCAGGTTTCGCTCCGGGGTTCAACGTTTTAACGACTACGACGAGATTATAAAATTTATATTCAAATAACTATTCGACGAGCGAAGATTTTTTTTCTTCCCGATCGTTTAATTTTATATTTCGAATTCATAGAAAAAAACTTCTCAGGGAAACAATTTGATCCTGGAATGTCCGATCATGGCGGAGAAGAGATTCAATGTCGTCCAGAACTTCCAGCAGAGGAGGTAATTTCGCGTTAATCCATATGTAATTGTCCCCTGATTAATCGATAATTACGTTGACGATTTCTCCTCTTCCATTTGGGGTTCTCGAATTTTTGTCACTTTCTCTATTCCGCGCATGAAATTTCAAATTTGTGTTGTTATCGTTGATTTGAGACATGGGTTTAATTTCGGGGGGATCAATGTGAAACCAATTATATCTACGCATGATCCAGATGGGTTTGGATTACCATTGCGATGAAATTCAGTTCGCATTTTGTGAGTGTGATGTGATGTGATGGGAAGTAAAAATATGGGAAGTGGAAGTAGGAATCATTGCGAAATATGTTGTTATCCTTGGTGAGCAAGCGCTCATTAGAGGTTGATTCGAGGTAAAAGAAAAAAAAAGGTTCAATGATTTCACCGATATTTGGTTCCTTGATGATTTAATGTTGTGATTGCCTATTGGATCATTGCAAAGAAGATGATAATATCTCTGAATTTGGGGCATAGGGTTTTTTCCGTTTGTGTTTTGGTGAAATTGTTTATGGAGTTTTTGTTTGTGTGGGCAGGGACGCCTATGGATTTGCCTTGAGACCTCAACACGTTGAGAGATATAGAGAATACCTTAGTATCTACAAGGTGACTGCCACTTTCTGTCTCTTTTGTTGTTTCTTATCGAGTACAGTAGATGATGCAAGTTCTCTATCTTATTACCTTACAAATTCTCTATTGATTTGTCATGTTTCCCGAGATAGTTCTGGCATTGAATTCAACGGCATATGGTTGTAGATATCAGGATTTTGTTAGGTCATAGAGTGGGTCTAGCGCCCCACTAGTTACGAGAGAGAGAGAGAGAGCCTCATTGGATCTTGGTAAGATGCTCTTTGAAGTTGTTGTGGTATTTTACTTAGAGCATGAATGTCTGACACCGGGAGGATTATAAAACAGTGTTGTGTAGTGCCACAGTAATAAACCCAAGCATGTCTCCTTTCCTACTGATGTAAAAAATTTGTGCATACACTTGATGGTTTATTGATGAACCTATATCTAAAATAGGAGGAAGAGGCAGAAAGGGAAGAGAAATGGGCAGGCTTCCTTGAACGGCAGGATGGCCCTGCTGCGCTCTGTTCTTCCGAGGAAGAATTTCAGGATATATTGCAGGCAGAGGCACCGGAACTGAGAGAAGATGCTTCTTCAGATGAAGACTCTGGAGCCAATGATTCAAGAAGCAAAAGCCTTGACTCTGATAATATAAGCAAACATGGATCTAGTGAGGAATTGCATGACCATGCACAAGGAATCCCTGAAACAGGAAGAGAACTTTTCATTGAGAGAGAACCTGCAAAGGATGTACAACTTCAAACAGACCGTCAAAATTTAAACGAGGAACTGCCTGGAAGAGACAGCGACTGTGTTAAGGATGATGGGCTTTTAGAAGAACCTGAATCTGAAAAGGAGAGGCAACTTTCAGCAGAAAGTGCATCTGAAGAGGAGAAACAGCTTCCCCAAGTAAGTGAACGTGTAGATCAGCTACAGCTTAGACAAGAAAATGGAACAGAAAAGTGCGTGACAGAACCAGAGGAACGTGAATGTCAGCAAGAAAAAGAAGGGAAGAAGGAAGCAAAGGCCAGTAAAATTCAAGGATGGGCTCATATTAGACCTTCTCTCGGTTCCATTGAGGCTATGATGTGCTCGCGTGTTAAGAAGGCAGAGTATATGAAAGACAGGCAGAGCGCTCATACAGGGAGCCGTATTTCATCAACTAGCAAGTCAATGCCGTCCATAGTGGAATCTGAAGAGAATTTCGGGGAACATGCCCCAGATAGCGACACTTCCACCAGTACAAGCCATGCTAGAAAGAAAGAAAACGATGCTCACGAGAGTGTTTCCCCAGGGCCTTTCTTCCCTTGGTATGAAGAACTGGAGGTACTTGTTCGTTTGGGAGTGCCAAAGGATCTTAGAGGGGAGGTGAGTTCTATGCTTTCAGATTCATGTTATGATATTACTGTAGCTCTTTATCATTTGCCTGGCTTTTATCATACAGGTCTGGCAAGCCTTTGCGGGTGTAAAGGCAAGACGGATTGAGAGGTATTACCAAGATATGTTGGACCGGGTGACTAATTCTGAAGAAGGCGAGGAACACAAGAGCTCGGCCTTATGGAAGTGGAAAAGACAGATTGAGAAGGTCAACTAGATGCATGAATCTTGGACTTTATCATTCAGTCTTTTGAATTTGTAGGTGCTGCTTCTTTTGCTGTTTGTTACTGCCATGAGTACTCACCGGACTAATTTTTATTTTCCGCTCCACAGGACATACCCCGGACATTCCCTGGTCATCCTGCTTTAAATGAGGATGGTCGAGATTCCTTAAGGCGTATACTTTTAGCTTATGCTTGTCATAATCCATCAGTTGGGTACTGCCAGGTGAGTTATCTCGAAAATCCCATTGTGATTTTTGTTCACTTGATGTGTTGCACTTCAGTATGCACTCTCCAATCATGTCTCCATCCGCATGAAGTATTTTCATGTGAGGCAAAGGAAGCCCTCCCCAACCTCACTGCTTTTACGTGTATAAAAAATGTCGTAACTATTATTTTTCCTGGATAAATAGCAACTGTAATTTTGTCTTAATTTCTTTAAAATCCTCTTTTCAGTATGTCTAATCAGTATTTTATGATGGGTGTCATCAGACAACAGGCCTGGTGTCTGCCTTTTAGTTACAGCCTTTTTATGGAATCAAATGCATGTAGGAGCATTGTGTAATATGAAAGTTCGGAAATTCACTATATGCATTTGCAACTGGAGTTTCACAGAATAGCATGACTCATTAATTATAAGCTATTACTATTTCTTTTGTCAAAGCCAACAATGACCTCGGAAAATCTGCAGGCTATGAACTTCTTTGCTGGCTTGTTGCTTCTGTTGATGCCAGAGGAAAATGCATTTTGGTAGGGTGATAACCTTCTTTGTCCCTCCTTCCAATAAGTGCAGTCAAAAGCATAGTAAAAGAACTCACAGTTTCTTTTTCCTTCTTCAACATCCTTTCATTTTTACTTGTTGAATCTCTTTTTCTTTCTATATGAAATTTCTTCGGAGGAGTTAGACCTCTCTCATACCTGAATATTGGCAAGAGCTGGTCTATGTTGTCCAAGCATCATTTTAAGAAAATGATATCTATTTGTCTTGATGAAATTTCCGTTTTTAAGTACAGATATAACTTAGTTCGACTCTATACTTGTTCTTAGGCAGACATATTTTCTAACATAACAAGCTGATTATTGTCCCTATGAAATCATTCAGGACCTTGGTTGGATTCATTGATGATTATTTTGATGGATATTACACCGAGGAAATGATCGGATCTCAGGTGTAGTTTCACAAAAATGGTTCCTAACAATTTCTCTCTTTGCACACCTTTTCTGGAAGACTACAAACATGCATTTAATCATATCAGTCTGATCATTCTCTGCATTTAGGTTGACCAACTAGTCTTCGAAGAGTTGATCAGAGAGAGATTTCCCAAACTCGGTTTGTATGCTTTTGATATTCAGTCTTTTTTTCATTTAATTGAATTTCCCCCAAACACAAAGCAATGTGATTGTTTTTCTATTCTATTTATGCTCCTGGTGCAGTTAATCATCTGGATTACTTGGGAGTGCAGGTAGCATGGATCTCAGGGCCATGGTTTCTTTCTATTTTTGTGAATATTCTTCCTTGGGAAAGCGGTGAGCTTTAATGATAAGATATTAAAAAAAACTTGCTTAAGCTTTTCTAAATTGATCCATAAAAGATCTCTCTTATTTTTCTATTTGAACTTGTCTTTGATCCTGATGTCTTTGCTGTTGCTGCCCAGTTCTCCGGCTGTGGGATGTGCTTCTATTTGAAGGAAATCGTGTTATGCTTTTCCGAACAGCTCTTGCTTTGATGGAATTATACGGTATCTCTGTTGCTTGCTGTAGGCATGGTAAATATGATATTAGGCCTCCCATAATGTAACGAGTAATGAAGTTCAGTAACACTTATTTTTCTCTTTAGGTCCTGCAATTGTTACAACAAAAGATGCAGGAGACGCAATTACTTTGCTACAAACCCTTTCTGGCTCAACGTTTGATAGCAGCCAGCTTGTGTTGACTGCATGTATGGGTTATTTATCTGTAACAGAGGCCAGACTGCAGGACCTGAGAGTAAAACATAGACCAGAAGTACTAGAAGTTGTTGAGGAGAGAACGAAGAGGGGTCGTGTCTGGAAGGACAAAAAGGGACTGGCTTCTAAATTATATAGCTTCAAACACGAACGTTCTATCTTAGATGAGGATAAATCTGGTTCGCAGCATCGTTCCTCTGATTTGGATGGTACACTTGATGATGCAAATGTTGATTCTGAACCAGATTCTATACCAGATCTTCAAGAGCAGGTGACTTATTGTTTCATATTCCTCATTGCCTCTATTATTTCAACCTAGCTAACGACGGTTTCATCAATATTTTTATATGCTTATCTCAAAATACTTCAGTTTAACCCTATAAGTATTTATGTAACTTGTTTCTATATACTCTATTATAAAAGAACTCAATTTTGATTTAATATAGCGTCCGGATATCATTTGGGTATATGTTTTGTATGATATAGGTTTACCCCCTGTTATGAGTGTTAATGGGTGAAAATTATCAATTATTACTCAATGTTTTAGCAGCAGACTACTATCATTCATTTCATGGTAGATAAGAAATATCCTTGACGTAGGCTTTTGGAGGAGCAATCTGTGTAATTGACTGATATGAGCAATCTGTGTGCATCTTCTTTTAAATTTCAGCCATTAACAGTTATTATGCAGGTGGTTTGGATGAAGGTTGAGCTATGCAGGCTTTTGGAGGAGAAAAGATCGGCTGTATTGAGGTTAGTGCTCAAAATAATTTGATGAAAGCAAAAGGTTGATAACTTAATCAAAGAAAAATGTTTCTGTACTGAGTAATATTAATCTAGAATGGATATGCGAAAATTGCAAATGTTCATGGTATATTGTCCACGGTCATCTTGGAAATGAAACTTTTTTTCCTTGGCGCCAGTTTTGTTGAACTTTGAGAGTGAAGGTCCTGAAATTCTTACTAAGAAGCTATCATTATACGTATCTTTCTCCTTTTGCCAGAGCTGAGGAGCTGGAGACCGCATTGATGGAGATGGTCAAAGAAGATAACAGGCTCCAATTATGCGCACGGGTAAACTTATATTCTGTCAATACATTGATTTCGTACCACTTTGAACAAGTACTAAGTCTCCTGTATTGCATTGAGTATTAAATGCATGGTATCAAGGCTCAAACTATTAAGTTTTTATACTCTTTTATGGGAATAAACATCAAGAATACATGGTTGGGACTTAACTGTAACCAGAACTCAGACTTTATTCTCGAACCTAACAAGAGAGGCATCCATCTCGAAGAACTCTCATCGTGAATGGTTATGTTTGGGATCACTAGAGATCTTAGCCTTGAAATGTTGCAGATCGAACAATTGGAGCAGGAAGTGGGAGAATTAAGGATACTCCTTGCTGACAAAAAAGAACAAGAATCGGCAATGCTTCAGGTCCTGATGAAAGTGGAACAAGAACAAAAGCTTACTGAAGATGCTCGCATAAGCGCAGAGCAAGATGTAGCTGCTCAAAAATACGCAGTCCATATAATTCAGGTGATTTTATCAGCTGCTTCCTTTTCGAGATTTATAATATCAGTGAAATTCCCACCTCAATCCATGACATGACTAATATTGAGAAAATCGAAGAACAAAAATCATTCTGCATGTCTCTCTGATGGAATCGATTGTACAGGAAAAGTACGACAAGGCTATTGATCAACTTGCTCAGATGGAAAAGAGAGTGGTTGTGGCAGAATCTACGCTGCAGGCTACTCTGCAATATGAATCTGGTCAAAACAAAGCATTATCATCTCCAAGGTACTCAAGGACTCACTCCTTCATTATCTTTTTACCGTTATGCTCTCTAAATCTTCTCGAAAATTTTTACTCGTTCTTTTTTGTGCTTGGTTTAGCATGGGAAGTTACTGATTTCTTTTTCTTTTTACTGTCATTCCCAATCAATAATGTACTATGTGGTGAAAAAAGAAAATTCGTTATTTTTCTCGTTTTGTGCCGACATTGTAGGTTTGGTCGTGCTCAACATGATAGTCCTAAGAAGAAGACGGGCCTCTTATCGTTTGGATTTGGCTGGCGTAATAAGGTAAGATACACAATCTGAGATATCGAGCTGATTAAATTTCCGTCTTAGAATTAAACGGTGGCTAGTTGATTTAGTAAATATACGACGTTGTTCTCTTTACCCGTTTCACCTTTTTGTTTCAACACAAACTTCCAATGGCCGCCTGTTTGGCTTTTTCTAGTGCTATTGACCAAGTTTAGGTTTCTCATGAAACTCTCATCTAACAGGGTAAGCAACAAGAGGAATCCAATGATGATAACTCAAGTAATTTGGCATCATCTCCCAATTCTCCACCAAATGAAAGTGTCTCAAGGCATGGAAGCAACTCCTATCGGGAAAGCAATCTATCGAAAGAAAGTAAAGCCGAAGATCAATCAGATCACCAAACAAAAAGCTCATCGGACAACCTCGTTGCTGGTTGATCATATTATTTTCGGGTAAATCTCTCATCCTTCCTTGCATCACGTTCTCTCCACCCGATAAGTTTACGTAGAAGATTTTGGCTAAGAGGGCTACAGATTTTGCATGAACCCGACTCATATAGTTAACCCTCTCTTTGAACAATATTACTGGACATATTGGTGAAAACAGTTTCCTTTTTCCGGTTTTTAGGCCCGAAGAAAGACTGTCTCCTTTCCTCTTCCGCCCTCGAGAGCGTATTTTTGGATCCTCTTCACTGATGGTAATCTTCTTCTCTTTGTCTCGATTCTGTTTGGCAGAAGAAACCGCAACAGCAAAGAACCAGCTTTGACGTTAGGATCTTACTTGTGTCCCAAGCAAAGTAACGTATGAAGCTGAGACAACACTTTGTTGCCATTGCAAATGTTCATTCATTTGATTTGAGATTCAAGTCATGTTTTATATGTAACTTGTCTTAGCTTACAATGGTGTATTGTGTGGTTCGTTTTTAAACAAATTTATTCTTTTTTAAATCATTTTTTCGAAAACAAATTTACTCATATTTTATTCATTTTTTTTTCGAAACCCTTACCATCTTAGCTTGAGCTTGACTATAAAAGTGAAATATGATATTTGATTGCCTAAGTAAATTTCTCAACGAATCTTTTTTTTCTTCATAAATTTAGTATTTTTGTCTTTTATAATTTATGATTCATTTTTTTTTTCCACATTTCTAATATTTAAACTATGCGACGTTGTGAAATGATTTTTTTTTAAAGTACATAATCCACCAATTAAAAAAAAACTATGAATTCTATTTCTTACACCATATGGTTAAAGAGAAAAATTCAGATAAAATGTTGATTCTTCACGAAAATCGTTAGAAAAATTTATTTTCAAACATTATTTATTCATCATCTGCGTTGGAAGTTGAGTTTTCCCACGAAGAAGGCGAACAAGGAAGCAAACGCAACGGGAAAAGCAATGAGCATGACTGCGGTAAGAGGCAGACGATCGTGATGGAACCCGAAATATTCTTCCAAGAATCTTGCGACCGTTGTAGATTTTCCGAATACCGTTATCTCTTTCTCGATATCTCCGTACTGAGACGAGAAAAACCCGTTTAACGTCCAAGACGTCGGGGTTAGGTAGTACAACCAGATCCACCACCTCGGCACTTGCTGAAAACATCATCAAGAACACACCGGCCGGGAAAAAAACATAGTTCAGTCGTAGGATTCAGACATTAGAGTAGAGAAGATTACGATAATGTTATCCTAAAATCTCTAAATATTACGTAATACTATCATAATTTTCTCCGGTATTCTCTTCACATCTTACATATCTGTGTGTTGTTCAAGTGTTTTATCAGATATTAAACATAGTTCATTATCATATATTCAAAGAAAATATTCCTAAATATTATGTAATATCATGGTGATTTTCTCGAATATTTTCTATATCTCTTGCAAAATAGCATCGTCCAAATTCTTTATCTGATACTAGATATAGTTTATTACCGGATATATATAAAATATTACGTAATACTATTGTAATCTTCTCAAATATTCTTTATATCTCTGATATTCATAATATTGTTCATAGTATTGTTCAATGTAATCTTTTCGAATATTCTCTTTATATCTGATAGTGTATTGCTCATGGTGTTGTAGAAGGGAGAATCTTACGGGTTCGGGAACTAAGAAACCGGCGAAGAGGTTGAAGTTAACGTAGAAGAGGGACTGGAGAATGGCGGCGACCATGAAGTTCGGAGTGATGGATACGAGGAACATCGCCAAGTAGTTGAAGTAAAGAAGAGTGCAGAACATCGAGTACAAGCTCCAGAAGATTTTGTATCCGGACACGTAGTATCCGATCATCGGATACGTTATGATCACAAACTCGACACTTTGGACGAACAGATACGGAATCTCGGTCACTACCTGCAAAAACAACAGACCCATCAATCAAAGTTTTGTCCAAGTGTGGGTGGCAAAACGGTAAGGTGAAAGCACAAAGTGCTCTCTAATTACCAAAAAAAAGTTTCGATCTTTTTCTTGAGCGAGAAGAGATGATACCTGGGCGAAAGCGTAAGCAAAGGACGAGTACATTCCGGCGAATCTCTCTCTGTACATGACGTTACGTTCGGTCTCGAAGTACTGAAGAGCTGACGAACAGTTGTTTATGCCCAAGAAGAGCACGGCTCCGTACATTGACCCGAGAACCGTGAACAGGCTCTGCTGGTTATCTCTGCAAAAAAACCCGAGAAGTATGAAGAAGAAGAATTCAAGAATTTAGGGTTAGATCTGTTCAAGGAAAGAGTTTGGCTTTTTACATGTTCTTCCCTTGCTTCCAGAACAGCGCACCGAAAATGAAGGAAGAGATTAACGTGTGAAGGATTCGCATCAAGTTGTAAGAAGGGCTTCTCCAATAGGATAAGCTCATCTTCCACAGACAAGACTTGAACTGTCCCCACCAGTTCTGCGCAAAGGTCCTCTCGAACCGGAGATCCCTCGAACTTGGTTCTGGTTCGGATAATTCTCTCACGGCCTCTAAGTTTCTCCTGCAAGAAACGAACAATCACAGACTTTGATTCAAATGGATATCAAAGGATCAAAGCCATGAAAGATTTTGTCTTCTGTACTCACTTGTAAAGATCGGACTCCCTGTAGATTTTGGCGAAATCGAGAGTGAGCTGAAGCTCTGAAGATTGGGAAGTGACGTCCAACATCCATGTCGCCGGGTTGTAGTTGTCCCTGATCTTCGGAACTCCTGGAATGCTCTGTCGTTCAAGGATCTTATCTTTGTTATAATCGGAACATTTACAGGGATGGCTTATCATATGTGATGAGATCGGGTTTGGTTATAAGGAGAACTCGAAAATCAGGTCCAAGTTCGGGTGCTCAAACTGACCTCAAAATACTCGATAACACGGCACGAATGTTGCCCCAACGACCCCGTGTAGATCATCCGACCGCCCCTTTTCAGTAAAACCAACTGGAAAAAAAAAACGAACGAATTCAGGTTTTTTTGTAGGAAATTATAAGTTCAGGGTTTTATATGAAACATTTTAACAGTTTGAGATTTTTTGTGGGATTAACCCTATATTTATATCGACAAGAACTCCATAAAATGAAAAAAGAATCACAAATAAGGGTAAAAACCTCGTCGAAGGCCTCGAAAATATCGATGCTGGGCTGGTGAATGGTGCAGACGATGGTTCTTCCGGTGTCGGCGACGTTCTTGACGGCTCGCATGACGATGGCGGCGGCTCTTGCGTCGAGACCAGTGGTCGGCTCGTCCATAAATATAACGGACGGATTCGCCACCAGCTCGACCGCTATGGTCAGCCTCTTCCTCTGCTCCGTCGACAGACCGTTCACTCCGTGAACTCCCACCAATGCGTCCTTTATCTCTTCAAGCTCTATCGTCTCCAGCACTTGCTTCACAAATTCCTACGTCACAAATTTTGAGAATCAGTTCGTATTTGTGTATTTATCAGAAAATTTGAAAAAAAAAATTATCATTTGTTATAGAAGTAGAGGAAATACTATGTAATACATAGAATTTTCAAAATATTTAACTATTATCTTTTAATTTACTTAATTGAGAAAATAGTATATAAATACCTAAAATTTTAAAAATCTCGTATAAATAATTAAACTATAAAATTTCAATATAATACATAATTTTTTTCAAAAATCCTATATAAATTTCTAAAATTTTGAAACTTTTCCATATAAATCCAAAGTTCAAATATTTGCTTTATAAAAATAATCAACTTCGTTGATAGATTTTGAATTTATTTGATTTTTTTTTTAAATTTAGATATTTTTATAATTTTTTTGAAAAAATATGTATTTATATTAAAAATTTATAGTTAAAATTTTATATAAAAATTTAGATATTTATATTAAAAAAATGGTATTACTTAACATACTTTCTAAAATATTAGATTCCATGTGTAAATATATAAAAGTATAAGTACTAGTACGCAAATATTGCTAAGCATTGGGAAAAACAACTCACGGTTTTGGTTTTGGAGTCGATGTCGGGAGCAAGGCGGAGCCAAGCGGAGAAAACCACGGATTCTTCGACGGTGATGTTCGGCGAATGAATATCGGTTTGCTCGCAGTATCCCGAAACCCTAGCGAAGGTTTCTTGGACTTTGGGAAATCCGCTGATTTTGATGTCTCCTTCGATGTATCCGCTGGTTTTTCTTCCGGCGAGAACGTCGAGGAGAGTGGTTTTTCCGGCGCCGCTGACACCCATCAACGCCGTCAGAACTCCTGGCCTGAAAGCTCCGGTTATGTCCGATAGAAGCTGCAGTTTCTTCGAAGGATACCCTTGTTCTCTCATCTCCTGTGTTAATGGAAAAAAAGGTGAATCTAATCAAGACTTCTGACGATTGTTTTTTCTTTTTTTTTTCTGGTGAATTACGTCGGAATGTGCAGATGGTAAACGTTCTGACAAATTGGTGAGGATAAACTGTTGAATGTTTTCGTGCCCTTATGATTCTAGTTCGTGGTTAGAGGATGCATTTTGGCATAATGTGTAAGATTTCGACAGAACACATTAGGACGGAAACAGGTTTTGCTTTTGTGTCGAGTGCAAATGCGAAGATTATTGGTCAAAGATAAGGAACTCGGGTTTGATGTTGGAAGATTGACAAAGAAGGGACAGAAGAGTTACCAAAGGGGTGTCAACATAGTATTGCAGGTCTTGAAATGTTACAGTCAGAGGTTTGAAAGGTAGGACCATCCTGCCTGTTCATGGAGGAAAAGGTTACACAGAGAAGACGGAAAAGGAGCAGGAGGAATGAGAGAAGAAAGCTCGTTTCACCATGGCTGTCATCTGTCTTTACTGGAGAGTCTCTCGTCTTGTTCTTTACCGGTGAATCATCTCTGGATTCTTTTGTCCCTCGTAGCTCAGATAGCTTCTCTTGAGAGATCATGGCACGGGATGATGTAGGAGCTGTCGGTGTATTAAGCCGTTAAGTACATATTCCTCTGACTAAGCTTTCTTTTTTTTTTATGTACATTAGCAAGAAGAAGATGGACTCACATTTCAAGAAACTCAGAGCCAGAGTGAAAATGATGTTGAAGAGCAAGGTGAAGCCAAACAAGGCACCAAATGATACCCAGTACATAGAACTGTCATAGTTCAGTCCACGGGTTTCGAGGACAGATCTTCCTATGGTAACGTTTGTTGGTAGCATCTGTAAAGTGTAAACAGACCCAGAAACCCGATTAGATTTGAGGAACATATCGCACGACGGAGAATTTGCGTGATTTAAGTGAAGAAAAGGAGAATAATATAACCTTCTGCCATCGTGGAGCAAGAAATTCGTTTACAGAAAGTCCAATCTCTGCGTAACTCATTGGATTTGCCCAGAAACCCCACTTAAGCCACACCGGCATGGAAGCTGCAGCAAAACCGGGGGTTTGAGACTTACCGATATAGAAATTTGAAAAAAGAGGAGAGGGTTTGTTAGCTCTTACGTGGTGGAATGATGAAACCAGCGAATACGAAAGTGACCAATATTGCAAAACTACCGGCTGTCATGGAAGCAACTACTGTCTGGAAGATTGCAGCTATACAACGGAACATAGAGATTGACGTGAAATGAACAGCAAAGAGCAGAAGGAACTGCCGGAAGAACCTGAGACATGAAACATCATTAGATGACAATTGTCTGAAATTCTTTCTAAGCACTTGGATGTGAAACATGACCTTGAGGTAAATTCAAAACTCACCTTGAGGCTTCAGGGCTGTATCCGATGACATAGTATGTCAGGCAGGTCCAGACAAGAGATTCGAAGAAAGAGAGAGGGACCTTTAACAACGTTGCTGGGATTGCGTAAGCCCATGCTGGATAGAAACACATCTGCTTCTGCTTATAGAAAACGGCAAGGCGTTGGACTGTCATAGACAACTCCGGGAAACCGTCAACCAGCAGGATGACGATAGCAAAAAAGAGGGCGCTCATGTAAGAATTTCCATGAACGATGTCAACTTCCATTCTTGTCCGTATGAATACAGTCATGGTAATGATTGCTGCCATAAGAAGCTGTGCACAGAAAGCAGTGATGTTTACGAGCACTGGAAAGGAGACATCAAAAAACAAGGGAAGTTTAATGAAATGAACCTGGAACGTCTTGAAAATATAGACGAAATAGTTTCTCTTCATGAGAAGGAATTCTCTTGATATGCAGGCTCTGAACAGCTCCCATTTGGGAAGAGAGTACACACTGAAGGAAAGAGCATCCTTATGGCTTTTTGATCTATCATAGGGCATGGAGAGAGCGCCCACGAGCTTTTTCCCTGTATCAGAGCTCTTAAATTCCTTCGAAAACATGTCTACAGAGACATAACTGTGGGGTAGATCTTCGTGCCGCCAGTATTGGGCTTGATCCTTTCTAGATATAACCTGTAGAACAGAACAAGAAAAGATCAACCATTCGTGGCAATTGCGTAAGGGAACAAAAAATATGGATTTTACCTCCTGGAGAAAGTCTGCAACACCTTTCCTTTCAGGGCATCTAAATCCACAGTCCTCGAAGAATTGCAAGACCTGGTCACGTGGACCGTGATACACGATTTTCCCCTCAGCCATCAGCACAAGATCATCAAAGAGTTCAAAGGTTTCTGGGGCAGGTTGAAGAAGGGAAACAAAAACAGTAGCCTCGGTTATGTGAGCTAGCTGTTGAAGAGACTTGACGATCTGAAAAGCCGTGGAACTGTCTAAACCATTCGTTATTTCATCCATGAACAGAGCTTTTGTTGGGCCAACGATCATCTCCCCTGCAGAATAGAATTGCAAATGTTGCTTCTCAAGAAGTATTGAAGCAAGAGAAATCGTTTTGTAGGATTGAAGCTATGAACTATACCTGTAGTGAGGCGCTTCTTTTGTCCCCCGGAGATGCCCCTTCTCATTACATCACCGATCAGTGTCTCTGCACAAATGTCAAGCCCGAGGATCTGCAAACACAACCGAGAACATGTAACCAAATCCAGAATCTGGCTGTACCCAGATTAAGTTTCAGCTGAGCCATAGAAGAGGGGGGGCTACCTTTAAGATGTATTCTGTTTGCAGGCTTCGTTTTAGCCCTTCAACTGATATTGCCTATTGAACCAAAAAAAAAAAATTTGTGATCAACCCTTGGTACTGGTCAAGATTAGCTTCAAAGATCAGCGAGTGTCGACTGAAGTACCTTCATGTAAGCATCCACATCTGGATTGGGAAAGATTCCCGCTACCTTTTCCCTTTTACTGACCTCCATCATAATCTCTGTTTTGGCAGAACGATAGCATGGTGTTGCATTGTCAAAAACCCTGATGCCAAAGCACTCATGTGGACAGAGGTTTTGGGATATCTACCTGGCCGGCTACCGACTCCCTGACAACGAGCTGAAAAGTCGAGTGTCTCCCTCACCGTCATCTCAGCAATGTGCAGGTCATATTGGCTTATATACGCCGATGTTTTCTGAGGAACAAACTCATCCAGTCCATACCCGTTGTAAGAGATTTCGCCAGAGCGCTGTAATAAAAACAAAGGGTGAAGAATTCAGACATCTGCAAACAAATATGCCGGAGAAAAGGAGGAGACAAAGGTGTTTGTAGCGACCTTTAGATTCTTGTCTAGGTTTCCAGACAGGGCCTTCAAGAGAGTGGTTTTTCCACATCCAGGAGGACCAAGCAAAAGAGTTAGCCTGCAATTAGTACAAAGCATCTGTGTTCATGACAAAGGAGAGACAGCATACGTAAGCTCGAATCCAGACAAGTTAGCAGGTAGTACACAACCTCTGCAACTAACCTTCCCGGCTTTATGGCACCACTGACATCTTTAAGTATGCTTATCTTAGCTTCACGTGATTTGGCACCCGTGAGCTTCACCAGTTCCTTCAAGAAAAAGCAAAAAACAAGTCGAGTTTTTGACCCGTTTGATCGTTGTTGACACTGAACTACTACTACTTGTATAGATTCTCAGTATACTTACAGAGAAGATGCGGGTAAAAGAGTTCCACAGAGTTGGGAGTGCCTTCCCTTCAACGACCTCGCACTCAGCCTCCACCAGTAAGTGCTCATATCTCACTTCTATTGTGGGCAATTCCACTCCAACTCTACAACACCCAGTTCAAGTTCCTGTCTTAGAATGGATCCTGCTGTCGGAAAAGATCTGGAATCACTTACAAATTTTGTACCTGTCAATTCTCTTTCTGATCTTCTGCAGCAACTTGAGATTATCGTTCTCGATGTGTTTGATGAGCTTCTCTATCATCAGACGACGTTCCTCTGCCCCGAGCCTGGTGACATCCACAACTCTCTTCCCTTTATCGTTTACTTCATCGCCGCTGCCGTTTTCGTAATCGACAAGGGATGATCTCAGCCTTTTCACGGTCGGTAATCTCTCTATCTCTGCCCATTGGAGGGCAAGGTCAGCATCTGGTTCATCGTATCTGGAAGAAGTGCTTCTGAAACTGGAAGTCTGTCGCCGGAAAGATGACCTGATGCTCCTTCCGATCTCTGCAAGCTCCACTCTCAGGGACTCTATTTCATCCGCACCCACCATTTGAGCCATGGTTTGAAGATCGTTGCAAAGTCAAAATCGGAGAGAAAGTCGCTGCCTTTATATATGTTTCTCGATGGATTTGTGTCCAAACAGGACAGCTTTCAGGATGAAGTAAGCCATTACATCATCCCTTTCCTTCCGCTACATTTTTGGATTAATTTAAGATTTTTCCAAAATACACATAATCGGTGACTTCATGAATGACGGATAATATGAATTATTTTTTAAAAAAATACAAATAATTTTTATTTATTTATATACTACACGTTTTAACGGCGAGGCATTGAACAGGGGGGGAGTTGTTGTGGGATGCATTTGTCAATGAGAGAAATCAATAATTTTTTATTATTATTATTTTGTCTTGTTATGAACAAAAGTTCATGACTTTAGATTCTCTTCAACATTATTTTTTTTATAACATTTTTAATATTTATAGGAGCAGTCGAGTCGCAGCATGGAACGAAACACACCAAGGCTCTCAACTGTCATAGTTCTCTTCAACATTATTTTTTTTAAAATTTTTTTGTATATCTACGTGCCTCCTGCTAAGATATTCAAAATAAAATATTTTCTCTGAATATAAAAATAATTAAAATTTAGTAGATATAATTTTTACGAAATAAAATAGATTGCATTTAAAACTAAACCGATCGAATATCAGAGAAATCCAAAATATCCACCTTACATTCCATTATTTTTTTTTCTCATACTAAAATCCGGCTTCAATAGAGTTTTTGTTGATTAACTTTGCATTTTGAAATGGTTCAATATCTCACATCGTACCATATATTTAACACCAGCATTATTTTCCCACCAGATAACAAAGATGAGATAATCGGATTATAAAACCTTTTTTAAATATAAATTTAATATTTAACAAAAAAAAAATCATACAAAGGTCACTAGAAGAGAGAGCTTCCATTAACGGCCGAGTAACCGGCCGACATAAGAGCTTCCATTAATGGCCGACATAAAAACCTCATACAAAGTCAGTAAAAGAGAGAGCAAACACAACACTTTAGAAATATGAATATGTATATATATATATATATATATATAGTTAAAAGGATTTTATTTTATTTTATATTTTTATTCTTCTACAAAAAGAATGACCCCACCAAATAGCAAAAAATAATGGGGTAATCCGATACGTAGAGATCACGATCAATATCGATGTCGTGGTACAAAATAAATAAATAAAAGAATGCATTTGAATAATTATAATTTAGAGGTCATGTATATTTATAAGGACGAACGAAGAATCTTAGATGCGTCCGACACGTTCCGGTTTCGGATCATATTTGCCTTCGTGGCGGCATCCCGATTCTACGGAACAGCCCCTGTGGTAAGGATTGGCTCGTTCTTTGCCGCAGTTGGTGGGATGCTGCTTGCTGCAGCCGGGGATCCCGCCCTTACCTATCGCCCCGTAGTCAATCACTGTCCCCTCTGCCTCTTCGGCCGCAAACGCCATCACCACCATCACAGCCATGGCTAATGCCGCAACCCTTTTCCACATCATCATCGTATTCGATGTTTTTGTGTCTTAAAATTCTTGAATTTTCTTTTTTTTTTTTAAATGTTGAGGCCGTGGGAATACTGTGAGGGGAAATATCGATGCTTATATAACGCAAAAAAGGGCGGGTGGATGGATGGTTGGCTAAATAAAGATTTTCGTTGCTATAACAAGTCATTGGCTGTCATTGCCGCCGCTTTTCTCTAGCATTTGGTGCTTTAAATTATGCGAATGATAGTCGGAACGCTTAAAAATAGACTGAATGTCCAGACAACATTACACCACTGCCCGTCAAAATCTACGCATTTCTATATTTAACCTTACTGCTTTTTGTACCTCTGATACAAATAAAATAAAAATGTGAACTCCCGCGTTTAAAATAATATTTATGTGTATATATATGTATTTTCTATGTATGATTGTGTATATATGTATGTAAATATAGATATATATATATATGCATGTATGAATGACCTCACGGAGATCACGACATGGATTAAGCAACCAAGTCAAGACCGCAGCAATAACAAGTAAGGTCTGATCAAGATCCTCTTGCAGGTTGTCATTTACTAAGTTTGGCGGGAGCGTAACAACAGAATTTTTCGCAATCAGATCAGGAAGTTGGATCGGGTGATACGTGATATTATCATGTCGGGGCAAGAAGCTGTCTCGGTGGCTGAGAACCGCATGCTGCAGGAATGGTATCGTCTCACACATTAGCACTAGTTGGCTAGAACATCTGTCTTTTATTATCTTTTTATGGTTTTCACTTCCTTATGTACAAATATATGGTTGGGTTGTAACTAAACATTCTTTTGGATATATAAATTTCACATTATACCATATATATATATATATATATATTGAGATGTATATTGGAGATTGTTATATGAACATCCATTCATCTCGTCCATTTCATATTCTTTATTCTCTTTGCACGGTTGTGACAATCGTCTCGGACATCCTTTGGACATCAGAATTCGTGGTCTTGTTGGTTCCAAAGAGCTTGTTTTTTCTCCTTCGAATAATTCGCATTGTAACGTTTGTCTTTTGGCCAAATAAAAAATGTTGTCTTTCCTAATTTCTGCTCATTTATCTTATGTCCCTTTTGATTTATTGCATGTTGATATTTGGGGACTATTTCATACTCCTACGATTGATGGACATCGGTATTTTCTTACCATTGTTGACGACTGTACAAGGATGACTTGGATCTACCTTTTGCGTAATAAAATTGACGTTTCCATTTATTTTTCTCAGTTCATCTCTTTTATAGAAACGCAATTTTCCGACAAAATTAAGTTGATTCGCATGGACAACGCACCTAAACTTACTATCACTACTTCTTTACTTCAGAATGGCATTCGATATATTTCTCCTGCCCCTATACGTCTCAACAGAATTCTGTTGTGGAGCGTAAACATCAATACATTTTAAACGTGCCCGAGCTCTCCTTTTTCAGTCGAATGTGCCTCTACCATATTGGGGAATGTGTTCTCAACTGCCGTCTTTCTCGTCAATCGAACCACGCTCCTATTTTAAAATCTAAAGTTGTTGAAATATAACAACCTCTGATAATGTACGTGTGTATGCATATTATATATCAATGCCACATGATAAATTTTTACCCTATAATAAAAATATATGAGTCACGTCAGTTTCGTTCGTTGGAAATTGTTATTCAATTAATACAATTCGTATAAGAATTTAAAAGAAAATTTTAAATGTATATATTTTTCTAGGAAATAAAAAAATTTATGTACTTATTAATAAGATCTGTATTTATTTGGAATTTACAAAGTGATAATTATCAATATCATAAATGTCCATTTGACTCGTCAACCATTTTTTTTTTTGTATTGGTGATTATCCAGCACGGGACTCGTGGTTGTGGAACGCTTAGTCAACCCAATTATTTATACGAAGTTTGAGATTTAATCGTTAATCTCGCATACAATACGAGAGAATGATTGATAGTATTATTAAAAAAATTATTTTAAAAAAGATATATATATATATATATATATATATATATATATATATATATTCAGTATAACTTTAATTATAAATATTTAACGTCCATCCAATTAATATATTATTTGTAAAATATAATCATTATAATTTAAAATTGAAATAAACAAAATTCTTTTATGCTCAATTTTAATATGTTAGATAGATGCAGCTATGACCGTCTAATAGGGTGCAACTGATGGTCCTACATTTAAAAGGCCTCCGACATACAGGTTATTTTTTAGTATATATATTTTGATTTTTTATAATCTAATTTATTTTTTAAATTTTTATTCAAATATAATTAAACATCGTACATTTTTTTACATCCAAGATTTGTTACCATTTTATTATTATTACCATCTTAATTTTTTACATAAATCCAAAAAAAAAATCTAAGAGAATTAATCACATTCTTTTTAATTTGATTTTTCTAAAATCATTCTCTATTTTTCAATTTCATATCTAAATATTAATTATTTTCTTTTTTGTAATAGAAAATATCATATTTTATAAGATATTGAATATTTGTTTTTAATACCTTTATATTTATTCTAATATAGAAAAAAAAAATTCTAGAGTAACGATGAATTTGTTGTAACAGAAATTAGCAAAACATTAAATTAAAAGTTGCAATAAAGACAAAAAAAACGTTAAATAGACATAACATGTTCTAACAGGCTTTGCTTATGAAAACGCACGTAATAGCGATTTATACGGCTACTTTAAAGGAATTTGTTGGAAATAATAATAATAATAATAATAATAATAATAATAATAATAATAATAATAATAATAATAATAATAATAATAATAATAACTCATGTATATAAGACAACGATGCATATCTTTGCAGGTCGTATTGCGTTTTGAACCAAAGTGATTTTTGTGAATAAATTTATAAAATTATATATCCATTACATTTTGGCCAGTATTCCTTCTCCTAGAGAACGTATAAAAATTTTATATTTAACAAAAGAAAATATCTCATTCAAAATTCAGTAAAAGAGAGCAATAAATACTTCAGGAATATTAAAAAAGTATATATATAATTCAGGATTTTCCTAAAAAAAATAATGACAATAATTTATTTTGTTAACCGACTATTATGGACCAAAGTTCAGACTGATCTCGAGATTGAGAGTTGGTGATTTGGATACACATTTTCTCTCCAAATTTGAAATTCGAATTGGGACGAGATGATTTGCCCACGTTTTCACCGGTTGAATTATCCGAATTTGGATAAACAATGACAACATTATTTTTCCACTCGATAACAAAGATGGGGTAATCGTACTTGAGAAATATTAATGTGTATACGTACTTAAAAATATTTTATTTTATTTTTTTATTCCTTTACAAAAAGAATAACTCCCACCAAATAGCAAAAAATAACGGGTAATACGATACGTAGAGATCACGATCAATATCGATGTCGTGGTAAAAAATAAATAAATAAATAAAAGAATGCATTTGAATCATTGTAATTTAGAGATTATGTATATTTATAAGGACGAACGAAGAATCTTAGATGCGTCCGACACGTTCCGGTTTCGGATCATATTTGCCTTCGTGGCGGCATCCCGATTCTACGGAACAGCCCCTGTGGTAAGGGTTGGCTCGTTCTTTGCGGCAGTTGGTGGGATGTTGCTTGCTGCAGCCGGGGATCTCGCCCTTACCTATCGCCCCGTAGTCAATCACTGTCCCCTCTGTCTCTTCGGCCGCAAACGCCATCACCACCATCACAGCCATGGCTAATGCCGCAACCCTTTTCCACATCATCATCGTATTCGATGTTCTTATGAATCTCTTGAAGTTTCTTTTTTCTTTTGGTTTTTTTTTTTTTGATGTTGTGTGAATTATCGTGACTGGAAGTATCGATGCTTATATAGCGCAATAAAGGGTGGATGGATGGATGGTTGGCTAAATAAAGGTTTTCGTTTGCATATATATTTTAAATTTATACCACGTGGTATTTCTTTAATATAGATATACCTATATTTGGCGTTTTACCTTATTATTTTTAATCTCTCTAATACAAAAAAAAATTAATATGTTCCCGTTAAATTGATATTCTTTTCCTTTCCTAATATCTAAAAAAAATCATTCTCTATTTTTCAATTTCATATTTAAATATTAATTATTTTCTCATTTTTAATAGCAGAATATCATATTTTATAAGATATTGAATATTTGTTTTTAATTTTCTTATATTTATGCTACTATAGAAAAAATTGTCATCTATTTTCATTAATAACAATAATGTTTTCATTTGAATTTCTTATTTATTTTTTATATAATATATCTAGAGTTCATTATTTAAAATCATAAATTACATCAATAAATTTACTGGTTTTTCATTTTATTTTTTTAGAATGATTTTTCATTTTAATTATTTTTGAACTACATCTTTAAAAATGAGAATTATATAAGAAAACCCTAAAACTGAAAAATTAATTCAGTTTCAAAAAGGTTTTAGAGTTTATTTTTAGAATGATCTTCATTTTGATTGATATTCTTATTTAGAATAATGTTTGAAGAATTATTTTTATTTGAGTTTATAATTATATATTATTATTATTATTCATTTATATTATTTTAGAATACAATTATTTATATTGACTTTTATACTGCATTTTATTTTGATGTAATTTTATACAAAATTTATAAGAATTGAATTTTATATACATCTTATAACGTAATCCGACTAAATTTGAGTCTTTGAGATAACTCTTGATGTTGCATACATTGTAATAGAAGTTTTTAATTAATTAAAATGAAATCGTTTGACAAAAGAAATTAAAAGGGAGAACATTGCGCACCATGCGTAAGTTAGAGGCGATCCTCGTTATAAATGGCAAACCGGTCAGCGCAAGAAGCTCGGTCTGTCCTCCAAGAGGGGTGAAGAATAGTATCTCCAAACCGCCATAGCATAAGCTCGACGAGATCTCCGCGAATCAAAGGGGAGAAAAAGTTCAACCTTTCTCGACGCTCTCTCTGATCGTTCGAAACCCTAATTACAGTCCCCCTTCTGAATTCGACCCTGATCACCAGTTCGATCGGTTTTGATCGAGCGATTCGTCAGGGAGTCGCTATGCCGATCCAAAACCCTCTGGTTTCCTGGGGTTTTAGCGGTTTCCTCTTTTTCCTCGTCTTCTTCTGCACTTTCCCAGGTAAACAGTTTTTCAAATTTTCTCGCTTACCAAACAGATTTCATCTGATCTGATTTGTGATTTTGTCTCCGCTGGTACTGGAATTCTTGGTGATTATGCTGAATGGGGTTTGCTTCTGGCAGAAAACATTTCAACACAGGAAGTTACGTTGGATTCGATTCAGATTTTCACCACACATGATTGGTTCTCAACTAAGCCAACAGTGTACTTTCAGTGTAAAGGAGAGAACAAGACGGTGCTGCCCGATGTGAAGAAAAAGGATGTGCTGTATGGTTTCAAAGGCGAAGAGTCTTGGCAGGTTTGTGTTGGAAAAAAGCCGATAGCTTTCTCACCACGGAGTAGTTGATATGGCTCTGATAGAACTGATCTAGCTATTGATTGATTTTGTTTGGCATTTGGTTATGGCTTCGCAATGTAATGTAATTGTGATAAGAGATGAAGTTTTCCATTGCAATACCTGCCTTTTGGGAAAGCCATGAGAGATTGGGATATCAGAATCATAGATTCTAAAGAACATTTAGATTCAGATATGTTGAGAGAAGAAAGCTGTTAATCTTTTCTGCATCTCTGTTCATGGTGTGCTTTGTTGAAATTTTGCCCTCCAATGTCTGCAAGTCTCTCCTTTTAAACACTTGTCTGAAATGCTTTGATGGGTTTTTTTAATGGTTTCAGCCCCTAACTGAACTTAAAGGGACAAAGTGCAAGAGATGTGGGTTCTATGAAGAAGACACAATCATCAAGTCAAGTGATGTGTTTGACGAGTGGGAGCTTTGCCCTTCTGATTTCACAGCAGAAGGCAAATACACCCACTCCAAAGAAAAAGAACTAAATGTCACTCTCCTTTGCCACGGATGCTCTCACAACACATCAGGTGAATTATCTTTATCTCAACGGGGTTTAGGGTCCTATTATCAGGGTTGATTCAACTGAAAAGAAAAAACATATCGTGTGTGTTTGTAGCTTCGAATGCAGAATCCGGGTCACGAAAGGAAGATGAGAGCAAGAGGATACACCCCGTGATCGTGGTTTTGATAGTGGTAGTGGTTTCAGGTGTAGTGTTGGTGGGGGTTTTGGCAGGGTACAAGTACTGGCAGAGGAAGAAACGGCAACAGGAACAGGCCCGGTTCCTAAAGCTGTTTGAAGATGGAGACGAGATTGAGGATGAGCTCGGGAATACCCTATAACCCGGTCCGAGCCGGAATCACCTCATATATGTACAGCTTCTTGACGATCGCTCACATGGATTTTTGGTTAATCTTTCTTCTCACCGTTTTGTCAAAGGGGCAACGAATACTCGGAATACTGCAGACTCAAGATTCTCATCACTGTCCATACCTTGAGTCGAACCAAATGATATCCGGTTCTGATTTGGTACGATTTTTGTAAAAACTAGAATAAGAAGTGAACCAAGTCCGATAAATACCAAAACTAAAACAAATTATATAAAATGTATATGCGAAAATTAAGCTTCAGTTTTTTTTTTTTAATATTGGATTTTCATTAAAGTTGGTTATAATTTAGTGCAATTTTCATTAAACCAAATAAACAGATGATTTTTTTTTTTTTGATAACCGGGTAATCCCAGGCCCAAAGGGCCCAGACTAATCCCGACCCACACGCACAACCGGCACCACACGTGTGGGATGTGAAGCACCCGAAGGTGGCCGGAGGGGAAATCTCCATACCCTGGGTGTTGAACCCACGACCTCTTGTTCAGAAAGTGGGCTCTCAAACCAACAGAGTTGGGAGAGATCTTCAATACACAGATGATTTGGGTATATGGCTCTACGGAAATGGACATTCCACTTAACACAATCTAAGTAATTTTTATCCCATTCAAAGTTTAATTTACATGAACTCATTTCTCAAATAATTGATGAAATATTCATATTCTATGGCATACACATGAATAAAAATTATGATACTTATAATTTTCTTGAATACATTACACCAAAAAACTAAACATAGACAGAGCCATCTCAAAAATATTTGGGACCAATACAAAATAGAAAAAATCATTTATTAATTATAAATATTAATTTATTATTTTATTATGAAAATTTTAAAATATAAATAATAATAATAATCTAAAAAAAGGAAAAAAATAACGTGATAATAGTCATGATTTTTCTTTTTTAAAAAGTAAATAATTTATAATTATAAATAGTATCTCAGATGTTTGTAATTATACATGACTCTTTTTTTTATTTTTTATATTATATTAATAAGGGATAAACTAAAAAACTTATAATTTTAAAATTTCTTAAAAAACATCTTTTTTTTTAATTAATTATCGTAAACAATCACATATGTATTTTAATTAAAAAAAAAGGACAATCTTTAAGTTTATTTTGGTTTAATATGAAATAGCATGTAAAGTAATATTTTGAAAACTAAAAATTTGAAATCAAAACCAGTAATGATCTTAAAATAAATAAAATGATATCTTCATCTTTTAGATAGTTTTTGTTGGAAAGTTGATGCAGGGCAAGGAGATGCAGCCATTTTTGTTGGCTTTGCAAGTTCCTGGAGATCAGCCGAACACGGCCTTAAAGTTTTTGGGCTTTTAGGCCCATTAAAAACTGCTCTTTAACCGGATCCGGTTTTGAGAATATAAGAACCGGATTCTACTGGAAAAAAATTGCACGGTTTAACAAAAAAAATATAAAAGCCATGACTTTAAGCCAATTTGCAAACTTGTTTTATATAAACGAAATAATTACCAACAAAGTAGAGAGATGCGAGCAAACAGAAGCAAAGAGGATAGATTAAAGTAGCAACGCGAGAGGATCTAGATTTGGACACATGACTGGAGGGGAGCAAGCCAGAGTGCGAGGCGAGGATGAGAGGTGATGTGGTCGTGGAGGCGGATGGAGCGGGTGGCCAAGTCGTAGACGCCCGAGTGGTGAAAGCCTGCAAAGTAGATGGAGTTGGGGACAAGGCCGGGGTACGTGCTCGCCCGTACACAGAAGTGATCGGTCCTAGGTCCGAGGAAAATGCAGAGGTCCCCTATGTCTTCCGTGTAATACCCCTTCCCTTGATCCTTGTCTTCCCTGAACACCATCAACCGCTTGGTCTTGTAACCTTCTGACTTGTCGCCCAAGAACCTGCCCACGTTTCGTTTTTAGGAGTGATCCGGATTATCATTGTTAGAAAACGAAGGTAACGACAGCATACCACCAAATGATGAATAATTCGCCGCAAGGTGATTCCACCATGTGCAGGGTGAATTTGTCGAGATCGGGCTTGGGCACGCCGGGCGAGCCGTGACAGGGCAGTCTCTGGTGGTATTTCACCAACGGGGAGCCGGATTCGGCCAGACCCGACCCACCACTCGGGAGAGTGTTCAAGTAAAACACCCGGTCTCTGTCCGAATACATGACAGATGACATTTTCAATTCCCAAGGGGCTTTGATGTGGGTCCATTCCGAGTCTCCTGGACGGCACAGACTGAGATAAGGTCCAAGGAACTTGACCGCAACCACACAGTCCTCCTCCTTCTCTGGAGGAGACGAGAGAGACACGTTGATGATAAGGTCTCTTCTCTCCTCTGGTTGGATAAGGGGAGGCATGGATATGACCTTGGCAGACGAGCCTGGTCTGAACATGTCGGTGAGACGCACGGTGGAATCGCTCTCGTTCATTAGAGCCACCCATCCCCTCGACGATCCTACCATCTGCAGCTCCTTTGTCAATTCCAAGGCTGGGCTCTTGACCGTCTCTCCCTTCCTCGGATCGTACAGCTTGCAATTGATGGCCTTTTCACCGGACGAAGCCTTTCCCACCACATTCCTGTCCAGAAGGAGATAAGGGGCCGATGTCGACAACATGCGAATCTGTCGTTCGTTGGGGCATCAAAACTCCATCAGCCATACAACCCAGAAAACAACCGATGATTACAAGCCAACCACAACATACCTTGTTCTGCCCCCTCCACTGGAGCCCGTTGCGAACCGAGAGATTGGCAAGCCGAGACATTGTTGTTGAGGAAGACCAAACCAAACCCTAACGCCGAATTGCCCTTCGCCACGACTCGAAGCTCTTAATAATAACCTTCCACTTCCCTCAATTGCAAATTGGGGACCTTTTCCATCTCTCTCCCTCGTTTCCATTTCTGTTCTTCTTTCTCCGTGGTCGACAAGGAACGAATCCCATATTTTCTTTTCCTCGCCTTCCTCCACGCCTTCGGCCATGAAAGAAAACCGATTTTGATAAAGAAAGATTCGTCTTCAACACCATAATAACAAATATTTATTAATATGTTAAGAAAATCTAATAAAATATTTTTTAATATACTATAAGCGTAATATCAACATTAACCCAAACAAATGGAAATTCGCACTGCTGCCTCTAGCGAAATGGTTAGATAATACAATTTAACATTTAATTGTTATAAATAATATCAGTAAAGTATTTCCGTAAAAAAGATATATAGATTTATTAAATGCACATACATACATACATACATAAGATACAAACATACATAGACAAATGAAGATATATATATATATATATACACTCAATTATTTTAGGAGTTTTCTAATGTAAAATAAATAAAAAAACTCAAGTCCATTACATTAACATTTCCTGCATCCATAACTTCTACTTCTTTCAAACCTTAAAAACTTGTATAAATCATGAGTTGTAATGATGATAGAATATTCTTCACGAAGAAACATAGCACATCACCTTCCTCATCATCATCTTCAGATATTCTCCTCTCCCCCGAACGGTAAGACCAAATCTTTCGCTAGCTGTGGATCTCTCTCCTGCAGATGATACCTTCTCCCATGGCCAGTTGCTTCCCCTTCAAATCCTCTCTCATCTCCCCATCTCTCCTCGCTCCTCCGCTCATTCCCGCGACGCTTCAATCCTTCCAAAAGAGAGATTCAATGGCGACGAAAACACCCAAAAACATGACAAGAACCCTTCTTGCTCCGATGGGGACCGCCGTTCTTGAAAAACACGACGGCGTTTTCCAAGAAACGACGGGGTGAAGGCGAGATTTTCAGCCACTACTTACTTATCAGTTACATTTTATGCAATAAACAATAATTATGGTTTTAAAGCTAAAGTAAAATTTTCATTTACTCCTACAGAACGTTTTTTAAGGTTTTTTTATACGGAGAAATTAATAATAGTTTAGTAATAAATATATGATGGTGACGGAGATTCAATTCAATAGGTTTATGCCATAAAAAAATAAGGTATAAAGAGATTATTTAAACTTTAATAAAAAAAAGAAAAAACGATCAAATTCAAAGGCAAATGTTTATTGCAATAGAAGATTATCATTTATCTACAAATTGTCTTATACAAACTATTTACTTATAATCATAAAAAAAAATATTCGCATAAATAACCATAAAAATTATAGATATAATTGACAGATTTTATAGTTTTTGGAATTTAATTTGTAACCATGATTTTATCAAAATATTATCATTTTAATCATTATAGTTAACATTTTTAATTGTAATAAAATTCTATAAAATAAAGATGAAAATTTGATGATGATATAATATGATCATCTATTTTTTAAATCTATTTTACATGTCTAATAATTAGTTCAACTAAATTTTAAAATTCTGTTTTTGATTTTAATATTATTTTAAATATATATAACTAATACCAAAAAAATTATATAACAAATTAATTTTTTAAAAAAATATAATAATCTACTCGTATTTTTTATTCTATATGATCATCTATTTCTAAATCTAATTTACATGTCTAATAATTAGTGATAATCTAATCAAACTATATATAATTATTAAAAATATTAATTTACCAATAATAATTAATTTTCACATGGATAATAAGGCTAAAACCCCTAAAAAAACCTCCAACTTGCAAAAATATATACAAATCAACTTTCAATTTGAAAAACTGTCATTCAATCCCCGAACTTGTAACCTGTCAAAGAATAAAACCTCAAACTTGCAAATTATTGTTCTAATAAACCTTTGACCGGTTTGACCACAATTTCAAACGATCGGAAATCCACGTATTGACGGATTGCTGATGTCATTTTTTAAATTGAAATTGATAACGTGTATAAGATGACATCAGCAATCCGTTAATACGTAGATTTCCGATCGCCTGAAATTGTGGTCAAACCGGTCAAAAGTTTATTATAGCAATAATTTGCAAGTTCGAGGTTTTATTCAGTAGCAAAGTAGCAAATTACAAGTTCAGAGATTGAATGATAGTTTTTCAAATTGAAGATTTATTTGTATATATTTTTGCAAGGTAAAGATTTTTTTAGGGATTTTATCCAGATAATAAAGTGAATATTTAGGTATATTCAACACAATCCTTTAAATACAACTATTTATATATTTAGATTTTGGGAATACACAAAATTTTGGTCCAAAATCCAAATCACCACAAAAATACTAACCGTTTTGATAATATATATATTTGACCATAATTACGAACCAAATTCAATATAAAAATCAAACGATTATAATTTTTCTAAATTCAAAAAAACTGAATTTACCTGAACTAAAATAAATAAAAAATTTTAAAAAATTTACCAATGAAAAACCAGAATCCGAATCCAAACATAATCAAAATAGCACCGAACCTAATCACAGCGAGATTGATTAAAAAAAAAAACTAATGGTTACAATCTTTTTATATCCGAACCGAAAACCAAGCTGACCACACGTAACCCAAGATATTCCCTTAAGACAACAAACTTAAAAGCCAACCTATACATGGTTTTTTTTAATCAGCATCAACCTCCACCACCAATTGCAATTAAGTCTCTGACAAACTAAATAAGTTTTTAGAGTTTAAGAAAAGAGAGCAAATCTCAGCATTCTCAGACATAAATAAAACAAAAACAAAGACAGTCGATCTGGGGAAGAAGAAGACGAAGCATACATGGTACAATGGCGGCCAGGACCAACAGCCAATCAAGGCGACTCGCTACCTTTGACTTCGAAATCGTCATCGACAGGACTCCTGTCATCTCTCGGGCTGCTGCGCCCATTGGCTTCGGCCGGGCTTTCGCCTCGAGGGCTGCCTTTCCCTCGGGGACTCCCCCCATCTTCAGAGTCCAAACCTTCTTGCTTCTGATGTTTCGGAGGAGAAGCAGGACTGCTGTCTCTAGCCCTCGGGCTGTGTTCCTCACGGGGCGACGGGCTACGTTCCTTTCCTCTTGGCGATGGAGAATCCGCCATCGATTTTGGACTACGTGATCTTTCCACAGGGGACCTTGACCGACTAGTTTTGAAAATAACATCAGTCTACAGCTCAAACACGAGCACAAAATAGTTGAAAACTAGAAAGGAGGGACGAGAAACCAACCTGTAGCTACGACCTCGGCTGTAGCTACGGCTACGGCTTCGGCTAAGGCTTCTGCTCCTGCTTGGACTTCTTCTGCGACGAGGAGATCGAGATCTCACAGGAGACCTTGAGTAACTTCCATCACGCCTAAAACCATAAATAAAAAACGAAATGAGACGTTGAAAGGATTAGAACTATGCAAAACAAGGTTCTCACCCAAAAAAGAAAGAGAGAGGATGTGAGAAAGAGAGAGACGAGTACTTCAGCTTCTTCGGACTGTTATTGCAGTTTCTCTCGATATGTCCCCTTTCACCACAGCGGTAACATTTGTTCTTCCAGTCTCCGGCCGTGCAGTCTCGAGCCCAATGACCATCGACACCGCAGTTGAAACAGCGACCAGACCCAGGAGGTGGGCCCCTACCACCGTAATCTCGGGAACCACGAGGTGCCTACCGTAAAATACAAGATTTGCATCGACTTAGTACTAGTAATTCTCATTTACATTACATGTTAACACATTGCGAAAAGGAGTTAGATATATCAACAAACAACTCACTCACCCCTCGTGAAAACTCCACAACGATGCGACTTCCATCATAGTCCCGTCCATCCAAGTAATGCCTCGCGTCATCAGCATCACGAGGATCACTAAATTCCTGTTGTCAACAGGAAAGCACGAATTCCAGATACATAATATTTGTCCGAATCACAGTTTCTACCAAATTATGACCAATTAAATCAATCAGGAGCTAGAGAAAAAAGAAGAGAGGTACTACTACTTACAACAAAAGCATAGTCGCGCTTCATATCCACATCACGCACTCTGCGGAAATTGTTGCCAGAAAAGTAAGGCCATCGTTACTTAAGGAACTTCTAAACACCAGTTTGAGATCTTGGCCATTTCCAATTTCCACTAAAACACGCAATAAGACAACAAACAGAATCGCCGACGGCAACTATACACCTGGTGAGAATTCCCACCAATACCACCAAGGCAACCCGACCCATTCATCAAACACCTCCAGGTTAAGGCCAAAACCCCGGAAACCTTCAACAAGATCATTCCAGTTAAAAAAAAACACTAAACCTAGCTCCAGAAGTTTCCCACAGATGCAAAATCAACTAACAGAAAGTAGCAAGACCAATAAGCCAAAAAGAAGAAAAACCCTAAAAGATCGTAACATCAACTTGGAGTGCGTTTCTCTCACGCCACCGAAAAACAAATTCATCATATAATAATCCATAAACTGTAGTAGAAAAGAAAAAAGGGAGGTTTGTGAAATAAATCAAAAAAGGATTTTTGTTTCAAAAATGAAATCAAAATTACCATCAACCCTCAAACACAAAAACTTTCAAGTATTTCATCCACAGATGGAATCAATGATTAGATACCTCCCATATCGGCTAAACAGCCGTTCTAGGTCTCGGGTGCGAGTTCTGGATGACAAGTGGCCAACATAGAGACGATTATTCCCGTAACGATCGTCATAACGAGGCATTTTCAAGCTGTAACAAGGTAGAACAAAATCCACAACATTATGAGGGCAAATCGCCGAATCACCAAACTACAAAACCTAAAATTTCACCAAATTCAGGCCTATACGAAAACAAAATCCATAGTAATCTTCGAAATAGCACATGAACAGTGGACACATGCCCAAATGAATCAAATCACAACCAAACTTCTCCCATCCCACGCGAACAATGAAGTCAAATAACACATCTTTTAAAACTTCTCCAATCCGAAACCTTCACGAACGACACAACACCAAACCGCGAAGGGAAACAAAAGGCTAAAAACAACACCATTGAAAGGTTGAACCCGTATAAGAACCCTAATTTCAAACCTAAAATACCACAAATTCGAAGCAAGAAACCCAATTTGGAAGAATCCATACCTGAAGAAACAAAGTCGGTGCAACACTCGGCAACCCTAATCTCGAAGTGAAGAGGAGGAACGCGTGAGAGCGTCTCAGCCCTGAGCTTATAAACTGAGTTTAGAAGAAACCGACAAGTATCAACGGCTGCGATTCGCTGGAGCCTTTTAAACTAACGGTCAGGATTCAATATTAACGTTAGAAGGAATTTACGAAAATGCCATTACGATTTTTTTTTTTTTGCCTTTATTGGGCCTCCTTGTTACGCCCATTGTTTTTTTGGGCTGCAATAAATGGAATAAAATCTTATATTTATCTACTAATTTAGAAGTATATCCAGCTTTAATTGGATAATAACATAGGGTGACAAAATTGGATAGTCCATAAAACGTCCTGAACCTGATCTTTTAATGAAAATATATAATAAAAAAATCATGATAATTTTTTTAATGACAACAATTCTTGTACTTGAAAATTTTAAAATAATAAAACCGAGTGCTGCAAGTATAAATCGGAACAAAATAAAATCAATTAAGAGGTTGAATTCTAAAGTTTAGAGTTTAAATAAAATTTTAATAGATCAACTAAAGAATAACTATTTAATTAGAGTAAAAGATTAATTAGTAAAACATTAAAAAAAATCTTTTATAGAAAAAGAAATATTAAATGCAAACAAGTTAAAGTTGAATTACAATTTTTCCTTTGGACAAATACACCATTAAATTAAATAACAACAAAATAAATACAAATACATAATTTATCTCGAAAAAAAAAAACAAATTGCTGAACCTCAATTTTAAATATAATAAATTCCCCTGAAATCAGTTTCTTCTTCTTTATCTTCTTCACCTCCGCTTGTTCTTGCTTCCGATCAACAACGTGAAATAGAACAGAACCCTAAAGAAGAATCCCCAAGCAATGGTGATCCAAAAGCAATCCCATTTTCCGAGATCCGTTATCCCTTGCTGCTTCAGAATGTCGATCCCCGTCGTCACACACGTCTCCGCCGTCACATTGATCCCCAAAACGCTGCTCATGCTGCTCAGAAGCCGCGTCTTCACCGCCAACGGAGCTTGACCTAACGGAGAATTGTCGAACATCTGAATCCCACGGACGAAGCACTTCGTCGGATCCTCGAATTCGTTCTGAAGAACACCTTCGTACGGGTATTTCACGAGGGAGATGTAGTGGAACCAGATCCAGTAGAGAGGGATTCGGTCTCTGGAGATGAAGAATCCGGAGAAGAGAAGGAAATACGCGAGGATCGCGACGACGACGGTGAATCCAAGCATGACGTGAGAGACGACGCCGGAGAGGAATGTGACGAAGGAGCTTCCGGCCCAGAAGGAGGCGAGGATGGTGAGGAAGAAGTAGAGGAACCCATTTCCGCCGCCAGCGAGTCCGACGGCCCAGTAGGTCGTGGCGGCGAAGCTGAGAGAGAGGACGATGAGTGAAGGGATTGAGATTATGGACTGAGCCAGGACATAGGAGGATCTCCGGTAAGCATTATACGCTGTTTCTCTCATGAATATGTATCGTTCTTGCAGGAACACTGGGATTGCTTCTGCGCAGGTGTAGAAGGTCGTGGACATGGCGAAGGCGAAGAACCCTAGACGTTCTTGAACCCCTTTTGGGGAACTGTCGAGTTTCCAGAAGATAGTGGCGAGGATGATTCCGGTGACTAGAACGGCTCCTAGACGGATTCCGAAGAGCTCGGGTTGTCTTCTCGAGTTCAGCAGTGCTCGCTTCGCTATGACGATCATCTCGATCCAATATGGATTTGCAAATGTCGGAACTGAGGATGTTAGGTTTGAGCCATTTTTCTTTGCTCCGGACACGAGTTTCCCCCGTGAAATGCTCGCACTTATCGCGTCTTTGAGCGAGACATTGGTGTTTCTGTTCTGGTTCTTGCTGCTGCAGCTGCTGCAGCTGCTGCTGCTGTTCTTCGTCCTCCATTGCTTGTGGAACTCGACTAGAGTTTTGGTTCCTTCTGGTGAATCTTCTAGTTCACGGATTAGATCGAGTGCAAACTCAGTTTTATTCTCGTTTTCAGGGATTGGATGACCGAATTCTGCGAAAAACCGAGGGAGATTTTCTGGTGAGCCGCTATAAACGGTGTTTCCGCGGGAAAGGAAGATTAACCTGTCGAGCAAGCCCAAGATTCGGTAACTTGGCTGATGGATCGACATGATAACAATGCTCCCACTCTGTGCTATTCTCTGAAGCACTTTGACCACCATGAAAGCACTGGTAGAGTCAAGCCCGGAAGTCGGTTCATCGAGGAAGAGGATAATCGGGTCATGGATTATGTCGGTACCTATTGAAACCCGTCTCCGCTCTCCTCCCGAGACTCCTCGGTGACCCTCATCCCCGATGATGGTTTTTGCAGCGCTTCTCAGCCCTAACTGGTCGATCAGAGCTTGGACCCGGGCCGCCTTCTTTTTCTTGGACAGCGTACGAGGAAGCCTGAACTCTGCAGAGAACATTAGGGTTTCCTCCACAGTAAGCATAGGGAAGAGAAGGTCGTCTTGCATCACATAAGCTGATATGACTTTCTGCAAACTCGACTCGAGAACTTCCCCATTTAAGGTGATAGATCCTCGGAGACTCTCCTTGGCAATTCGGTTGGCTAATGCATCGATCAGCGTCGATTTCCCCGACCCACTTGCCCCAAGAACGGCCATGATCTCCCCGTCTTGAGCTTCACCCGATCATGTCTTCAAGAGCTTTCTACCAAACATACTGAAAAAGAAAATAATTCCACTGATCCAAAAGAGCCCGTGAACTGAAACAGCTCGAAAAATCCGATCTTTTGCCAATTTTCAAAGCTCGAACTCGTCATCCCTAAGTGCCAATGCAGCAGCCTCTTCCTCTTCATCCAGCAGGACCTTACTATTGCCTGCCCAATCATTTGCATCAGAACCTGAAGCTGAATTCCCGCAACAAGGTGAGAACTCGAACTTCTTCCCTGTCTTCACACTGTAAGTCAGGTCGTTAAAGGAAAGAACAAAGGGGGAAGAAGATACAGAAGAAGTGGGAACCGAGCTCCAGGCATTGGAGGTGACATTGACATCCATGGCCTGATGACGACGATGGGCACTATGGTCATCCGGAGAACCCTCCACGCGCATCAGAAGCTCTGCCAGCGTGGCGGATACCCTTGGTGTGCCCCTTCTAGGGCAACTCTGGGGCTCCATTGATGTCTGGTCAAGGTAAAACAGGGGGAGATCATGACGGGAAACTCGCCTGGCCGGAGATATTTTCCCGAGTAGACCAGACATTTGGGTGAGCAAATCTTTAGGGTTCCGGTTTTAAGCTTCTGAACTGAACCCACAGAGAAAAAATGTAAATGGAAACGAAAACATTATATAGGACTTTAGATGGAGGAAGAAGAGATGGAACAGAAGGGTCAATTTGGTTGGTGATCTCTTAAGTATCTAACAATTGAGTAGGTGAGAGGAGTTGTGCAAACCTTCGTCACTTTCTAAACTTGAAAAATGTTATGCCTATTTCTTGGGGCTTAAGGCACTTTTTTCCGGGGGAAATGCAGTCCAAATAATTTTATTCCGAACATAGAAAACCCCATGAAAATGCTAAATTATCATATCATAATCCCACTTGCCATATGCGCCTATGGTCTAAGGCTTCTCCAATAGTTTTCGTTTCATGATTTATTAAAAAATACTAAATATACGTATAGGTGTACAGTAATATACCAAAAAAAATGGAAAAAAAGGGTCGCCATAAAATCAGGAGGCGGCTTCTAAGGCTACACGAAGGCGATTGGATATTTATTTATTCATAAAATAAAATAAAGCCTAACGTGAAGAAATAGAAAACCGGAAACCCCGTTTGGTCAGGCTGCTGCATCTGCTCCTCACCTCTAAAAACTATACACGTCTTTCTTTCCACGGTCCAATCCATTTCCCACAAGAAATCTCTAACCATTTCTCAATTTCAATCCATACAACATTCAAACCCATCGACCGAAATTCAGGGCTTCACACCGAAAATATCATCAATGTGCTCGAAATCTCGTCCAAGGAAACAAGAAGCAGAGAATATATAAAGAATTTCAATATGATGTATCAAAAAGAGAAATGATAGTTATTATCCTCTAACAAAATATCATTCCAAAACTTACTAAACAAGCATATGATGGTTGTTAAGGGAAGTTTAGACCCGAAACCGGTAGGTTAGAAGACTTAAAACTATATAATCGATGCCGATACAAACCAGATTATCACATTAATATAATCTCAAAACCCTATTTTACTAGAATCCAATCCAACAAACCCTCTTACTTGGAATGCATCAGAGAGTTTCAAGAACATACCTCTGAAGCTTTGAGGATGTTCATCTCATCTCATAGATGCAAAGGTCCAACCTTTTTCTCAAATCAACACCAAGGCAGCTCGGTAGAACGAAAGAATCGTGCTTTCTAGCTGGATTCTATTAAAGATTACCGACGTACAGCCAAGAATCGAAAGCAAGAAACATAGACATACCTGGGGAAAGAACAACACAGGTTCTTGTTTCTTGATTCTCTGCTGGTCCATAATAGAATGCTCCGGCCATTCCTGTATAATCCCTGTGTATATAACCGAAGACCGGCCCAAACTGATGGGACAAATTTCAACTTCTCGATGCATTAGCACTATGGAGATCAGATAAACGATTCCAGAGTCGAAAAGCATCAAGCCAATCACTCAAGAGAAATGCTTGCAAAACAGCTATGATTGACACAAAAACGATTCCACAAACTCTTAACATGAAGATAATCCCCTCTAAGTTCTTACAAAATAACCCGTAATGAAACCCATCAGCATTTAAATATATTCTACATGCATCTAATCCTTTTCTTGGTCACAGAGTTTTGATTTCCAATCAGAAACCAAATCAACAGACGCAGTTGAGAGGCATAGAAAGGAATTCGATGTAAAGAGAAAAACAAAATTTAACAAAAGAAAGAACAATACTGAGCAACATCAGAGATGTGGCAAGACATCATGTCTTCAAGAGCTTTCTACCAAACATACTGAAAAAGAAAATAATTCCACTGATCCAAAAGAGCCCGTGAACTGAAACAGCTCGAAAAATCCGATCTTTTGCCAATTTTCAAAGCTCGAACTCGTCATCCCTAAGTGCCAATGCAGCAGCCTCTTCCTCTTCATCATCGATAGCAAGGTATTCGTTCTTCTCCTCTGGCCTAAACATATAGAACATCACCATATAGAAGGCAAGACTAACTGCCTCCTCTGCAGCAAAGCTCACCCACTGATACTTATAAGCAGCAATGGTCTTAAGGGCAAACACCACAATTCTCGTGAAATACAAATACCCGATCACGACGATATAGAATTGCCTGAACAATGTCAATTTAGCCAAGTTTTTGGCGGCTTTACCATCGGTTTTGGATGTCTCCCTCAATGATCTGATCGACCACACGATGGGGAAGATGATGGCACAGCAGCAGATGATATCGACAAGCAAGAACACTTGGTTCCACGTAACCCAATCCTTGATAAAGGGTCCAGTTTCTCCGATCACGATCGAAGCAATGTTAGCTAGAACCTGGAGGGGAATCACGATCATCAACACGTTCTTCTCCTTCTCCTGCAAAAAGGGCTTCAAAAACGACCAGCCAGTCCCGATCAGGATGATCACGGTGAAGAGCAGAACCACACGAATGAATTGGAAGATGTAGAAGAGGATGTCCCATCCATGAGGAGTTCCCGTGACTTTCACGTAATGCTTGTCTTCAGCGGCGCAGATCAGATTCAGCGACTTGATCAGAAGAAGACCCGCCATGAGAAGATGGATCCGATGAACGACACGCTTGTTGGTCCAGCAAATGTAGCCCCAGAAACCTAGGAAGGAGATGTAACACAGGAAGAAAAGGAAGTACAGAGACGGCAACTGGGTCAACCCTGCGGGCAAATAATCCCTAGATCCGTTCGGATCCTTGTTGAACATCTCTGTCCGAACCGCCATGGAAACCTTTGTCTCCGGAGCGCAATTCGCAAAAAACAGAGAGTACTCGTCCGGAGAAGTGACTGGGTATGACTGGTTGAAGCGCGAATTCGGAGGAGGAGAGAGATCTCTGAAGGAGAAGAGATGGATCACGTGGCTCGAATCGAGGACGCAGAATCTAGGGTCCTGCTGGATGTCGAGGAGGACCTGGAGAAGCGACTCGTCAGAGAGAAGGAAGAACCCTAGACGAGATGGGTCCGCGTTCGTGACGACGGAGGAGGCGACGACGGATACGGAGGAGACGGAGACGGTGACATGGCCGGTGTGCGTGAATCCGAACTTCTCGAAGAGGATCATCGGACGAGCATCGTCGGAGATGACAAGGGACTTTATCTCCGCCGTGGTCAAAGGAACGACGGCGAGAAATGCGGCGGTGAAGAGGAGAAAGACGCCGGAGAAGGGCATTATCGTCATTTTGGTTGGTCGGTGACGTTGTTGACAGCCGGCGAAGCAATTAGGCGTAGATGCAAGTCCAACCTATTTTAAATCTCGGATCTGATCGCTGTACAGTGCACTTCGTGGTTGCTTTTACCTACGACGTCGTTTAACGATAAGTTCGGGAATCCAACGACGTCGTTTCAGATCCATATCGTCATAGAATCATAAACTTTTTTTTTGTTAATGGGCTTCCTTATAACACAATTACAAAAAGCCTAATACAATGTTTTATTCCTCTTATAGGCCCAATATCTTAGACGACGCCGTTTACAAAAAGCCCAATACAATGAATATCAAACCTATCCGATGCAAGATTTACAAATCTTATTACATATGTGATAGGATCCGGAAAACTTGTAAAAATTTGTTATTGGAAGTTATTATTATGAAAAGAAAATACAAAATATAAAGAGAGTAAATTATAGAAATATAGCTTACAAGAATGTAAAGATAATTCTACTTAATTGTGGGATATATATATATATATATATATAAAGAAGAAGGATCCGTAGGTATACTTCAATTACGCCCAGTTAACCATGAGATATGGACCAAACATATCTTTGACCAGGTCAGCTCGAGTAGACCAGCTTTGACTTCTGCCATGAGACATTGAACGTGTCTGCTTCGTTGCTTAATTTAATTCCACACCCCCATTATCAATGAAGACATTTTTTTATAAAAAAAAAATTATACGTATCAAACTATATTTTATGAATTTTACGAACTTTAATTATTTTTTTAATTGAGCAATGACTATGATATGAATATAGATCGAAACACGAAAGATAATTGATGGAAGGTTCAAAAAATTTCTAACGACCGTTGAATCAAGTGTAGAACTTGTTCTAATCGCAAAAACGTCCTAAATCCAATCCAAACATGACTAGAAAACAATTAGAAATAAAGAAATTTGAATGTGTAATGTTTAAAAAGTCTTAATTGGCTTTTATAGTTTTCATGATGAAAATGTGAAAAGAAACTTAGACTAGTTTAAATGCTGTTTTTGTACCATGGTCGGCTTCGATCTAGCTTAGTATATATATATATATATATATAT